CTGAATGTAAACATAAATGGAAAGAAAGTGATGATCTTTTTTATTTTTGTTACAGGTGGGACTTCCCACAGCAGAACTAGATTGTGATCTCCCTCAGTATGTGGAACTCATTTGTTGTGAGTATACGTTTCTAGGGTGACAGTGGGGGACTATTTCCTAATTTGTGAGATGGTTCATTGGCCTTTCATTGTAGATCTTCCTCAGATACTTTCAGCCCAATACACTGGATGTTAGTGGCACAAATTCCATATCCCTCAGGCTTAGAAACTCCCTAAAATTACAACTCGCAAATATCTGCGAGTACCAAGAAAGTGAACTTGCAATTTTATAAGACTACTCGCAATTTTCATATAAAGTTAAATTTATATGAATTAAATACATGTAACTTAAGGAAAAAGTAACTATTGTACAATACACAAAATACAACTACAGCTTGACAGTGTGACTTTTATTTAAATTACTGATTTAAATCAAAAGCATTGTGTTCTGTCATATTATATAATTTTGCTACAGTTTCAATGCAAAAAAAATCAACTCGCAAGTTTTTGCGAGTTACCTAATTTTTAACTCGCAATTTGGGAATTCTAACTCGCGTTTTGCGAGTTGTATATAGTGAATTTCGAACCCTGATCCCTTTGTTTAATTTTATACGATTTAGCTCGTAAGATTTCTTAAGCATTACTGATCTTTGTGTGCTCCTTTTATAAAGCAATATCACAATCTATGATTTAATTTACATCAGAGAAAAAAAATTGAAGAACAGCAAACTACACATTGTGAAAATCAGCATTGTCTGATATTTACTTTATTAGGACTTTCAATTCTGATCTTTCTTATTACATGTCTGCTTAAATTAATATGTTGAGGTAAAAAGTTACTATAGCACAGATATTAAGAAATGTTTTCCAAAAATTGCTTGCCTGCTGTTGCATGCATGGAAAAATAATTAAAAGTAGACTTTGCACTGCCCAAAAAAAATTCTGAAATGAAAAATGCAGCAATTAAGGTCAGGTCAAGGCACACCCTCTCTGAAAGTTTTACTTAAATAGGTGAATCCATTTTTAAAAGATCTACTCAAAATATGAGGGGGGGGGGGGGGGACAATTACAATTAAATAAAAAAAAAGAGAATGTTTTAGATCTCAAAATTTAAATTTTTAACCGACATTATTTTTTGTAAGTACAGTTGAAATTTGGTATCTTGAACTCCAATATCTCAAATATCATGGATATGTCAAAGTGATTTTGAATCCGAACCACTTATTCTTCAAGAATTTTACCCTCAACATCTTGTATTCTTGGATATCTCAAAGTTTTTTCTTGGTCCTATTGAGTTCGAGATAATGAGGTTTGACTGTATTTATATTTGAAATTTAATTCAACAGTTAGTTCTCCAAGGTAGGTTTTTATTTAATCTTCCCTGAACATATTGGTAGTCATAAGAATGAAAACTTATATTTGGAATTCGCAATAGTATATTCTTTATACATGTACTAACATGACAAATTATGGATATAATGAAGTAAATTTAATGCAAAGGTTCCCAGGACATCACTTTAACCAAGTTTTACTGTATCTTATGATACACTACTTCTTTTACAGCAATACTTGACATACCTGTATACAAAGGATCACCTCATCACAATGAAAAGATTCAGGCCCTCCATGTTTTATTTACACTTTATTCAGAATTCAAAAATTCTCAGGTATTGATCATAGTTTGAAACTTATCTATTTTTCTTTTTCATATTAATTGTATCTCAAGTGAATATATGTTCAGACTTTATATCAGTGAGTAGATTCTCTTTACAGAGAAGTATCATAGTAGGTTGAGCAACATTTTTAATTAGATAAAAAAAATATACATTCATTTTTGTGTATAGCAAATACATTGCATTTGTTACTTTGACTAAAATTGTTTATTTAATTTGATATTTTTTTCCTTTTAATCAGCACTTCCGGGCCCTTGCACAAGACAACCAGCTAGATAATGCTCTGAAAGGAAGTGGTGGGGCTGGTGAACAAGACGACAAAGAAGAGAGACTGATTCTGTAGACATTTGGTTTATAAATAGAATTGTACATATGTGTAGTTTTCTATCATTGTCTGTATGTATGTAAAAAGGAAAAAAAATCATGGGAGAGTAATCATCTTACTGTTAAGTGTGCAGAAGGTTTAATAAATCTTATAGTAATAAACAGGAATAACTGCTTCCGAGTTTATTGTGTTAATGTCATACAACAAAAGACTTCTGTGGATTTCTTTGGGACTTCTGAAACAGCATTTTCAGATAAATGGATAAGAATTATATTTGAAATAGATTTTCATACTGCAGAAGTATTTTATTTGTTTGTGTTTGCACACAAGTATTTCTTTTCAATACTCAACTCTAGTAGAATTGATAGAAATATTTTTAACATCATATGATCAGACTTTGAAGGTAAAATTATATGTGTGAACTTTTTTGTAAAATACCTTAAAACATTTTGAATCATAAGCATTGAATCAAGAGGAATTTCTGTGAAGTTTGAATTTATGTTTGAGTAGACATTTAAAAAGTACTTGTGAAATGCTTTTTAAACCTGTTCAATTTTAATTAATTTACATGTAACATTTGGCAAGTATTGCTTTGCACTTTTCTGTCCCTCAACAGTCAGTAAATTATTTGTATTCTTAGCTGAAACTCTACCCATAACATCTGATGAAACAAGAAGTTCACTGCAGATTTGTGACTTGAAAATGATTTGGGATCATGCAGGCAGGGAAATTTTCGGTGGTCTGATGGGGCCACTCAACTTTCACCTTTAGGGCGAAGTTGCAATGGCAAAAAATGTGCATATATGGATACACACATGCAAAGATATGAGGGCAGAAATGCCCAGATGCAAAGACAAAGAAGGATACTAACCGTAGCTTCTTTGCTCATTCACTACTTCAATGTCGCACTTTTGCATCTTAGCCTAAAAATGGTGCGATTGGCCCCATTGAAATGCCATATAAACATGCCACGAATTACCCTCTCTACCAATCCCTGATTGATTGATTGATTGTATGTTGTTTTACGTCCCATTCGAGAATTTTTCACTCATATAGAGACGTCAGCATATACCGGTGAAGGGCTTCAAATTTTGATCTTTACTTGGCACTCAGGGCCATTGAGTAGTGAGGGATCTTTATCGTGCTAACGTCTGCCGTGACACGGGGCCTCGGTTTTTAAGGTCTCATCCGAAGGATCAGCAACTTTCACTTCAAAGTGCCGAACGCATGGCGAAGGAACAGTTGCTACCCAATTTTTATCGACTTAGGTCAGTCGCGACCGAGATTCGAACTCACGACCTCACCAATCCCTGAAGATGAGAGAATGACTCATCAAAAAGTCAAAGGCTTATTGAAAATCAAACCACTCTGTAGTAAATCAAACCACTCTGTAGTACTCATGAGTTAGAATTTCGGGTAGAACTGTAAACTTGCAGATCAGTAAGCTTTGCTTATACTATCGATGCAACTATACAATATCTTGTCATGTAATGAACTTCATGGCCGTAGGAACCGGGGTGGCACGGGGGGGGGGGGGGGGCTTTTTGCCGATATATAGATAACTATAGTAAACTTAGATACTGAATTTGCTTCGTACGGGCTTGAACATTTGACATCACATACTGAAATACTGACTTGTTACTGTAATAATATGCTATAAGGTAGTGATGACTTTCATACATAGCAAACATCAGTGGGCCGCCCCAACTTTTCTTTTTTCTGAGTATAGCACATATATATATATATATAGATAGATAGATAGATAGATAGATAGATATATATATATATATATATATATATATATATATATATATATATATATATATATATATATATATATATATATATATATATATATATATCAAAAAAAAAAACGAATACAGTGTCCGTTAATCAATATGAAAATAAAATTAAAAGGCAACACTTCTTCTTGAAACGTAAGCGCTTTCATTGTTTTCTTCGGACGTTTTTAAACAATGTTATATGTTGGGGCACAAAAGGACTTTCCGATTAGTGTATATTTGATTCTAAGTTCTTTTATTTTATTATGCTCCCGACCACCCAAGATTGTTTGTATTCATGCGCGGATCTAGAGGGAGTCCAGAACACCCCCCCCCCCTTGGAATTTTCGGAGTTATTTTAAAAATGTACATAATGGTAACTTAAAAAGTGACTTTGGACCCACACAACCCATATAGAATACGCGGAACCCTCTTAAGTTGGTAGGAAGAGTCATACATATTCCTGAAATAGCATTAAGTCTCTGGTCTGTCCCTCCTGAGCTGGAGAAAAATAGTTGAAACGGGTCCGAAGGAAGCAATTTTAGTTAGGGTGGGGGCACAAAAAAGTTCATTACGTTAATTTAATCTTTGAGGGATAAGTATATATATATATATATATATATATATATGTACATGAACTTTCTTCAAAACTATTGGGGCTTTGAAACCCATCCATGGTTCCCTTTGAATTTTTTTTTTAATAATTTTTAATTTTTTTTTAAATTTTTTTTTAAATTTATTTTATTTATTGGTGGTGGGGTGGGGGGTGTAAATTAACTGAAGTAAAAAAAAGATAATGAATGAACAATTAAAGAATTAACAGACACATGTATACAATGTTATTTTAAGGGTGATGGAAAGAATACCAAGTCAAGTGAAATAAAGATACTGTAATGTTACAGAATTTAGCAAAACCAATAAATAAGAGTTCACACTCTACCACATTCTGAGAGAGGAACGAACGACAACTCTGCAAAGGAGATAGTAATATATTTTCATGTATGTAAATTCTTCTTTCACCATTGAAAAAAAATTACAGTTAAAAATATAGTGAAATTCATCTCCAGTTTCTCCGACACAACAGAGATCACGTAATCTATCAGATCTATATACCTGTGAAAACACCGTAAATCGGGTTCGTAATACGTGAAAACAATTCGGTGCTTCTTAGCAACAAGGGAACATGGACGACGAAAAAAGTAAGTGTATATCCAGTTTTTTTTTTGTTTTTGTTTTTTTACAATTTAACAGAGCATCAGATTGATAGATTTAAAAATAAAGGATATGTAGAAATCTTAAGAAATATATTCTCGTAATGGAATAAGTCGTTAGGGAAAAGCAAGTAATTTGCAGTCAGTACAGTTCAGCTAGATCTAACGTTATCAGGTTATGGAACAAAAACTGACAAATAGATTTATACATGTATAGATCTGTATTTCATGTCGTTGTTGCTTGTACACATTTTATTTTATATGCTTGATGTTGTATTTTACATGAAATTTACTTCCATATGCATTCTATTTTGAAGCTATTTTTTATTTTGTGTGCTTTTTTTTTCAAACAAAGGGTCATTCAAATGCAACTGGTAGTGGTAAATAATTTACCACCCGGTCATAGAATTTAGTATATGTTTTAGTGGTGTTTTATTTTTTCCAAAATTTTGCAAAATGCAATCGAAAATTACATCATGTTTGTTATAAACAAAGAGGAATCATATACAAATTTTTAGACAAAATATGAAATCAGAAATGCTTCACCATTGGCCAAGTAAGTACAGTGATTGAATTGTGTAAAGAGTCTACATTATAGCAGTTTTCTTAATACAAGTCTACAGTACTGTATTTGTCATGTTTTGATCAAGAATAAAACTTACTTTGTCAAAGCTGATGACCCTGCACTTTGTTACCTTTTGTTCAGCTATTTGGTCATGTGAGAATAATAGGATTTTCCTGGTTTTGAAATTTTGTCTACAATTATCTAGAAATGTCATTTTTATATAATTTCAAAGAAAACCTTGGAAATTTCAGGAAAAAATAATTATGCCATTGATAAAATATAAAATTAATAATTTGATTAATTTCTGAGATCCCCCCCCCCCCCCCCCACATATTATGCCATTTCTGATAATCGTGCTTGTTTTGTTTATATTTACAAACAAGATTTTTGGCGAACATGCATTTTTGGGCAAATGGACTTGATATCAATGATAAATTTTATGATTCACAATTATGTAATGTTAATAAATAGAGAAAAAGGACTCGCATCCAAATGGAAAAAAGACACTTTCACTGCGGGGGGCCACACACAAACTGAAAGCGGAGGCTCTCAGAAGGTACAGGCTAAAGCACAAGGATGATGAACAAGAGATAAAAACCCCTTTGTTTACCTCTAAAGATAAAGACACTCTGCAAAATAATAAAGAACCTCAAAGTAAACCACACCAGTCAGAGGGACAGAAAGTGGGGCTAACAAAGAGATCAGTGAGGCCAAGAGAATTAGGAAAAATAACCTTACATGAGGATTCTGAAGCAAAAGTATCCCAGATAGCTAAATCTGATGTAGCAAGAGAAAATAAGCCAGAAATTCACATGAGGAAATCAGTAAAGGGTGATAATGATGCTGATCTTGATATGTCAAAAGAGATGTCACTTGGTGAGAATGATAAAGATATGACACAGGAGAGGAGTGATCGGACAAATGCAGATGTAACTTGTCAAGGAAGATTTCTTTTAAGTGAAGATTCATCTCCTAAACAAACAACAAATGACCAAAAGAATGAATTTGACAAATTCAATGTACAAGAGATTAGAGATCAAAATTATGCATTTCCTAATAAAAAAGAGCATATAAACCTCAAAAGCAATGACACCATAAATGATGACATAGTACAAAGAGGTATTATATAAATTAAAACCTATAAACTCTACTGAAAAGGCCCCACTCTGCTCCACTGTGTATGAAGCTTCCAGTTTACACATCTGTTATATGCAGTTCTAGTGTATCACCTGACTTTGAAGTTGAAAAATACTGCATGAATTCCATTTTTACTCTTTGACCCAAATCTCAGTCTCTCTAGCTTTGCAGCACACAAACATCATATTTCTGCATATCCTAGCACAGTCTACAAGTTCTGCAATAATGCATTTTATTGCAGAGTGCATGGAAGGAAGACAACTTGTCCTCACATATAGACTAAAGTCTCAAGCATGTGCATCCCAAGAACATCTCTCTGGGTTATATTGTCACAAAACTGGGAGAAGAATGTACCACACTTGCTTACATCTGATCTATATCTAATGTAATTTGCATGGCATGATTTTGATTGAGGCATGATCTATGTTAAGAAATACATTGCCTCATGCATCGCTTTTGTTTATCATAATGCATATCAACTTTCTATACATGTATCTCATCAAATGTATAAAGGTATATGTATATTGCACTTCGATTATGTTATATCATACATTGTTATTGACAAAAAATCTTTGTCATGGAAAAAAATTCCAAGTACTAGTATTGAAAACCATGCTAATCCTTTGTCATATAACTAGAACAAAAATGCTTTAAATTTCATGTGTTTATCTTATACATCAGTGAGATATTTCTTTTGAGCTAGTTATAGTAAAATTGATTTTGTAAAAGTTGATGGAATGGGACATTTTGATAATTGGAATACATGTATTTAATTTGATCAAACTCTGTCAGTCTTTTATAATTCACAGTATTGTATTATAATATTTCTAGATAAAGAAGGAGGCCAAGGGGATACCCCAACTGAAAACAAAGGTAAACTTATCTTCTATTTCTGTCTAATATAGCTAATTACCGTGGACTTATAACAGTCCAGTATTGTACTGTCCACTGCCTTCAGATTAATAATGTATAAATGACAACTTATTTTAATTGAATTTACAGAACCTGAAGAAAATGAGAAAGTGGAACCTCCAGTCCAGGCCACAGAACAGGTTTAAAGTTTATCTTTTATTGTACTCTAAACTATTAATATAGTCGTGCTTATTTCATAATTTTGACAATTTTTTTATATATTATCAAAAAAGAAAGAAAAAAAAGTCTAAAGCTAGAAATGATTTTTTTTTTGTTAATTCAAATAACTAATCAAAAAATATAATAACAACTAAAAACTTCAGTTGTTTTTAACTACAGTTCATTTTATGTTTACAGGTGTCTGATAACCTTTGCATTACTGCACATATATTGATTCTATTTTCAAATTTTTATGTTGATTAAACAGACAAAAGATGACAGTTCAAAAGAAGAAGCCCAGAAAACTGAGGAGGTGAAGGAGGAGCAAGAGCCCGGTTCTGAGGCTCCCCCAGAGAAGGCCGGAGAGGAAAAACCAGAAGACACACAAGTAAAAACAGAGGAGGGGGAAAAGGAGAATGTGGTAAAGGAAAGTCAGGAAAAAACAGAGGGAGGTGAAAAGGAGGCACAGGAGGAATCTGGGGGAGAAAAAAAGGATGAAGATAAACCACCACAAGAATCAGGAAGCAAGGAAGAAGATTCTGCAAATAAACCGGAGGAGCAAGCTACAGATAAACCAGCAGAAGAGAGCAAAGCAGACGGGGAAGAAAAAGCAGCAGATGATCAAATCAAACCGGAGGATGACCAGAAAACAGAAGATAAAGCCAAGGAGAGCGCAGAGGGAGATACAAATCAAAATGCTACAGAAGGTGATGAGCAGGGTAAGTGTTGAGTAGAGGGAAGTGAGAGGTAAATAGTTAGCTAGGGGATAGATTGAGGCATGGGGATCAAGCGGGAAACTAAGGAGTAGAAGAAATGCAAAACATTGGTGAGTAAATGGAATCATGAAAAGAAATTAATACCTAGAGTTGTGGTCCAGTCTGAGGAATACTTTTTAATTCTCTTACAATTTAAGATATGTCACTTTATGCAGATCAATTAAATTTTTGTCAAAAGGGCCTGTAAGTATCATATTACCTTGGAAAAAGTGTCAGTAATTAATCAGTTTTTTGCTCATTCTTTATTTCATGAATACAGTATTGGGGGGGGGGGGGGGGGGGAGGGGGGGCATAACTAAAGGTTCAATATAAAAGCATTGTATATGTTTTCTTAATAGATGAGGAAGGAGAGAAAAAAACTAAAAAGGAAGAAGAAGAAAAAAAGAAGATTCCTGATGATTTTTTCTATAACTATGAAGAGTTAATTTCCCAGCCACAAATCACTCAGGACTCAGGCTTACCCAAGGACTACTTAAATCTAGCGTATGATAATCGATTTCTGTGAAAATTGAAACAAATATCTCAAAAGATTGAAAAATGTGAAAAGCACCTTTAATGAAAATGTAATTCAAGACTGAAATTTCATTTTAAAAGAATAAATTTCACCTCTTATCATAATAAACTGTGTATGGTAACAAGTGATATTTTTGTCTTCTGTATCTAGTCATTCATTTGGATATGACTGCACAAAGCGCCACAACCTCCATCTTTTGGATGAGAGAACAGTGTGTTTTGCAGCAGGTAACTATGTTTTACTTCTGGATCTGCAGACAAAGGAACAGAGATACCTGCGCAGTACCAGCGGGGGAGGTATTGGAGCCATCACAGTAAGTATTACCTGCCATTTCATTGTTACTTTCTGTGTATAAAGACTCAGAGCAGGACCAACACTGATTGACAAGGTAGAAAATGTTCAGTAGCATCATTTTGTTCTCTTGCAAAAGTTATATTTTATTCTTTAATAGTTACCATAAGTATAATTTTTGTTTACAGGTTCATCCTTCAAAGAAATATTTTGCTGTTGCTGAAAAGGGGACATCACCAAACATCAATATCTTTGAATATCCATCACTAAAGTTACATCGAGTGCTGAGAGGTGGAACAGAGCGATCCTACTCATATGTTGACTTTAAGTAAGTATAAATCATTTGTGTTTTTAGAAATAAGTGAAATAGCATGTTCTGAAAAAAGAATTTTTTTTACTGTAAACGCAGGGTTAGAAACTCCCTAAAATTACAACTCGCAAATATCTGCGAGTACCAAGAAAGTGAACTTGCAATTTTATAAGACTACTCGCAATTTTCATATAAAGTTAAATTTATATGAATTAAATACATGTAACTTAAGGAAAAAGTAACTTCTGTACAATACATAAAATACAACTACAGTGTGACTTTTAGTTAAATTACTGATTTAAATCAAAAGCATTGTGTTCTGTCATATTATATAATTTTGCTACAGTTTCAATGCAAAAAAAATCAACTCGCAAGTTTTTGCGAGTTACCTAATTTTTAACTTGCAATTTGGGAATTCTAACTCGTGTTTTGCGAGTTGTATATAGTGAATTTCGAACCCTGAAACGTTCAATACATTTTGTTTTTATGACTCAAATTTCTGTGGAAATTGCTGTGCAAAAAAGGTTGTATGAATATTGTCTTTTCTTGACCAGTCCTAAGGGTGATTTACTGGCCTCCGTGGGAGGGGACCCAGACTACATGTTAACTATCTGGGACTGGAAGGAGGAGCAAACAGTGCTGAGGTCAAAGGCCTTCTCACAGGAAGTGTTCCGTGTGACCTTCTCTACAGAACTGGAGGGTCAGCTGACCACAGCTGGTACTGGACATATCAGGCAAGATTCACTTTGATCATATTATTATAAAGTATATAAATAAAACTTTGGTGCACAAATGAAGAAAATAGAAATAAAGAATAATATCTTCTTAAGAAGAAAAAGAGTAAAATTTAACATTGTTTTCCCTACATGAGGAACATAATTAACTGTAGCAATTTAGTCCTAACATATGCTGGTTATAAAGTTTATTGGATTCAAAGTTGTATGCCTATTAAATCAGGCAATGCAGCAGTTTGCAACAAACCAAGTGGCTGGAGTTTTGATACAATATGCCAGACATACACACGATGAAACCTACAGTTTATGACATTTACAAAATTTAAGTATTGAGATGACATTATTTTTTGTGTTACTTGTTGTTACAGATTCTGGAAAATGGCAGACACTTTCACAGGTTTAAAACTTCAAGGGGAGTTGGGAAAGTTTGGGAAAACTGAAATTTCTGACATAGAAGGTTATGTTGAACTTCCTGATGGAAAAGTGTTGTCTGGAACAGAATCTGGTAACATGCTACTCTGGGAAGGTGGCTTAATCAAAGTAGAGATCGGACGCAAAGGAAAAAAAATGTGTCATCATGGATCCATCCAACAAATCCTTTTAGATGAAGGGGAGCTAATGACTGTTGGGATGGATGGATTTATAAGGGTATATTTAATCTTATATTGTTTATATTTAAAAGTTAAATGTATAAAAAGGAGTACTAAAATCAGATGTTATAGATAAGTGACACGTTTATTATATTTGCCATGCTTTCCAGGTCTGGGACTTTGAGAGTGTGGACACTGCTGATGTTGCAGATGAATCAGGACTTTTTGAAATGGAGCCAATGAATGAGCTCCGTGTCGGTCATGATGTCCATCTGAAGTCTATACTGAAGTCCACTGATGCAGAAAACGAAGTCACTGTATGGTATGCACAGGTAGGTCTTTTTTTTTTTTTTAAAAAGTATAAATAAAAAAGGAAAGATAGGAGAAGAATATTAGAGAGACTCCATTTTCATCATAAGATTCTGAAATGATTATTATTTAAAAATGTTTTCTGAAATTATTCCTTGTAGGATGCCAATGGAGGTATATGGAAATTGGATCTGACTTTTTCACACACCTCCCAAGCTCCAGACAAACTCTTCTCCTACCATGCTGGAGCCATCACAGGATGTGATGTTTCGCCCCTCACTCATCTAGTAGCCACCACTGGTGTTGATCGTAAGTCTGCCAGGTTTTACTCATTTATAAACTACAAAAGTCATTTAACATTTCTTTATGCCAGTAGCAAATAGCAACACAAGTACTAATACACAGATGCTTTGATTTTGCAGACACGGTGAGGGTGTTTGATTTTCTACAGAAGAAACAACTGTGTGAGAAGAGGTTTGCTGATGCTGGAACTGCTCTGATCTGGGCTCCACAAGTTGTAAGCTCATTGATTTCTTTTTCATGTAGTACTCTTATATTATATCTCAGCTGACATAGTTGAAATTTGACAAGTTATATATATACTGTATATATTGTTATTATGATATGTTCATTTGTACAGATTATGCAGTAAATATCATTTCAACAATGGTGATGTTGCTTTTCACCTTACACATGAAGTTAACACATTTTTCAGGTTGATCCTAAAGCAAAAACTATCATTGCTGGATTCAGTGATGGTGTGGTCAGAATTATGACTATTGCCAAGGCCAGTGAAGATCAAGCTCCCAAAAAACACAAGCATGACATTGACCTTGACCTCGATCAGGTCTTCAAACCCCATACTAAGGCCGTTACTACTCTTGCTGTGAATGACAAAGGAGACATTCTTGCTTCAGGAGTAAGTGTTTTTTAGTTTGATTTTTCAACCTATTTTAGAAGATACATTTAATTAAAATCACATGAAATTCTACTCTTCTCATGTTCAAATTTACTGACTATAATTAAAATTAATATCTTTTAAAGGGTGCAGATAACACAATATTTTTCATGAGTATTGGAAAAACCTATGAACCCATAGGATTTATAGAGACCCCAGCAGCTGTCCGACAGGTCCAGTGGTCTCCCTCCTCTTTTGTGAGTGTTTTCTTTTTTTGTCAAATCTGGATTATAAAACTTAGAGCAGTTATCCAAGAATTATTAAATGGAAACTATACCAGCCAGATTTGTTTTTCAGGTTTTTAGATGATTGAGATTGATGTTTGTAAGTGTAGTACCTAATCAGTCTCTCCTCATTTGCAGCATATAATGTCCCCATATACTGCGATTTTGTGAAAAGAACTTTTTAAAAAATAATCATAAATGTATTCAGTGTACCTCATATATGGAATATATTAAAAAAGCAGGAGACAATTTGCCAGTCCCTTGTTTTGTCACTCATAATCAACCACATACAGCCTATAATTATTTAACACAGGATTGCATATCAGTGGAAGATTACTGTTGTCAAGACCCAGCATTCAAAATCGATATCACCTCATAATTTTATTCAAGACAAAGGAAATCAAACATTAAAAATTTTCATATAGCAAATAATGTAGCACATCATCCAAAATCCATGCATCTCTAGTATACTGTGATGGTGGCATAAAGAAATTAAGCTTAATATCTTTTCAGTACATGTATAGAAACATGAATTTTCTTTTTCAATTTCAGAAAAAATCCACACTCCTTGTATTTTGTGAAGATGGTCTTGTGTTAGAAGTTGATTCTCCAGATGGTGCAACATTTGATACATCTAAAACTTTCCATATTACTGGGTTACCGATGAGGTCCTATAAGTTCAAAAGTGTGAAGTCTCGATTACGTGTAAGTGCAATCAAGATGCTTAAAAATTCCAGATTGATTTTTTTTCCCCAAGATTCAATTCCAAAATGATAAAGTCTATGTGTGTGTGGGATAATTCCATCATTTATAACATCACAGCATGAAGAAGAGCTTGAGAGGAAAAGAATTGAGGAGGAGGAAAGGAAGAAGAGGGAGGAGGAAGAGAGGAGGAAGAGAATAGAGAGAGGACTAGAGACGGAGTCTGAACAAGGAGATATAGAGGAAGGCAAGTTATAAAAGTCTTCAGCATTCACAAATCATAGTACCTGCTATTATTGGACATTAAATATGTGAATGATACTTTTATTAGTACCCATATAATGACCAAGGCAATTGCTGCCTTGATGTAAAATTCAACACAATCAAAGCCATAAAAATAAATGTAATGAAAAAAATTTTGTTGAAAATGCAATTTTTTTTTTAGTTGATTACCTTTTATAGAGCCATTGAATGCTTCTGTTTGCATTCTTGCAAACTTCCATACAATATTTTCCAAAGATTCCTTTTAAAAATTCTTAATTTTTATTATTTTATTGTAGAAGTAAAGGAGCCTGAGCCAGAATGGAAGCCATACATTCCACCAGAACCGAGTCCCATAATGATAGGCTTCTACTCAGAAGAAGGCAAATTCTGGCTTTCAATGGTATGGTTATCTTTGATGTCCGTATATTAAATTTTATTTGTTGTTGTTTTTTTTTAAACAGTTATTGAACTTTAGTCCTATTTCGGAACAGGGAGAGTTTGATGCTGGATATCTATATGAATGTAAGTTTACATCTGAAGAAGAGAGATCAAAGTTACCCGAAGAACTCCAAGATGCGCCATTACAATCCATTCCTGTAACAGACTCCAATGATGTTCCAGTCACATTTATGCAGTACAGGTATTTATTAAAAAGGCACCAATACACAAAGTTTATGTTAGGTATACATTAAAAAGTCTGCAAGTGGTCTATAATGTCTAGTTGAATTTTTCTTTATAGTGGTAATGGACGACAGATTTTGTTTGGTATGGAAGACGGTGGCATAAGAATTCAGGGTTTAGAGAAGGAATTCAGTATGGATGCATTTGGTCCCCATTGGAAGTTAAACTTTCATGACAATAACTATGGACATATTGTGAGACTAGGAGTAAGTCCAGATGAGAAAATGCTGGTGTCTGTGGGAGCTGATGGGAACTTTTTCCTGTATGACATAATGGACCAAGAAAAGGTGGACCAGAAGGTGGCGGAGGCTAAAGCCAAACTGCCCTCCGCAAAGGTCAGTGTATTACAACATCAAACAAGTGCAGACATGCTATATCTGTGTTGTAAATTGAATTTCTTGCCCACTTGGACAAAATAATAAAGAGGATCAAGAATTTGTCAACTTTTTTTTTTGCAGAACAAAAAATGAACATCTTTTTGTAATTTCAGAAATCTGGAGAACAAATCAGTGTTGATGATATTGAAGATCCAAATGCTTACAGGTAAAATATTTATGTCTCAATTTTTTTTTATATGATATGGAATGTATGGAAAAATAAGTTTATATCATAAAATCTAATCATTTTTCAGTATTGAAGATGCAAAACAAAAGGCAGAACATGATAAAATGATGAAAATCGCAGATGAAAAGAAGAAGGAGGTGCGTCGCCAGATTGCAAAGCTAAGGCGACAGTTCAAGAGCATACTGGAACAAAACGAAGGACTTCCTGTTCATCTGCAACTGAAAAAGGAGGCAAGTGCCAGGGTTATACAAAGTGTTTTGTAATGACAACTGATATCAGTTAATCATTATAATATTCATGTACACTTACATTGTTGTGCAGGAATTTGAATTGGATAGAGAAATCAAACTTGAATTGGAAAAGCAAAAGAATGATCGAATTGATTTAGTCAGAAAGGAATTGGCGTGGGAGGCAGAAAAACAAAGGGTAGCATTGGAAAAGCTGAGGAAAAGGTGAATACACTGATTTAAAGGTCATCTGATCTGCTTCTGGGTTGCAGTAAACATTTTCAATTGATCTGGAGACTCTGATATAAACTTTTGTATTTAATTTGATTATACTATTAAGTGAAGAACTGTTACATAGAAATTTGTACTGAAAACTAAATTTTTAATCAAATTATCTGTCTTTTAGGTACAAAGATGTGGTTGAATGTGAAAGAATAGTTGTAAAAGCATTCAAAACACCACATGAAGTTGCAAGCTTTAGGGCAGCAAAGCTGTCTGATGACTTTTACCAAATGAAGGCTGAGTTTGAGAGAAGAAAAACAATGACCATGGTGAAAGATGACATAACTAGAGATCCAACACGTGACCTCTTAGGGGGTAAGTCTTGTTCTACTCAGCAGAAGTGAAATGTATGGTAAGGTGTGCCAATATGTCTGTCCCTTTATTCTTCACAAAAGTGCATGTAAAGAAGTGAACATTGTTTATGCATATCAAGGCTTTCCTTTTTTATCTTAAATATTGAACTATTATGAACACTGCAAATATTTTTTGTACTTATTTTGAATGAATGATTTTTTTAGGTAAACTGTCACACTCAGACGAGCATGCTGGAAGTGGTGGGAAGCCTGGAGACCAGACAGGGGCCAAAGTGACCACCACCCTGAAGGGCAGTATGGGGGAGAGGATAAACAAAGCCCTATATAAAGTGGAAGAGAAGAAGCAAAAGCGGGCAGCAAGAAGGGCCCAGGTCAGTATACATTTATTAGGGTTGTCTAGTAATCAATTTGCTTAAATTTCATCCATTCAAAACTTAAGTTTGTGAGATTGATGGAAACAGTAACAGATTTGAATACATTTATATACCTGCCTCCTTTAAGCAGGAACTAAATATAGGTTTAACATGTATATACAGTATATGATTTTGTCAGATTGATGGAAACAGTTATCCTTACAAATTTTAATACATTTATATACCTGCCTCGTTTAAGCAGGAACTAAATAAAGATTTAACATACAGTATATAATTTATCCAAGGTGGTTGTAATTTACAGGCCAATTAAATGTTTAGTACCATTCGGAATTTTCTGTTTTGTTTTTTTTTTTTAGTTATTTTGTTAGAAGTTAAGCCTCTTATCTATTTTTAATTCTGAAAAAATGAGATTAACAAAAGACATGGCTATACACAATATACAGTATAAGTATTAATCTAAATTTGTGTTTGTTTCCAGTGGGAGGAGTTGTACAACACAAAGCCTGATGATGATTACGAGGATCCAGCAGATCTGGCAGCCATTAAAGAGGCCAAGGATAACATGGGAGACTTCAAACTGAAAACAGCCAAGGATTATGTTGTACCTGATCATCTGAGAATGAATGTGGAAAAAGCCAGGGGCAGATTACTGATCCTTAAAGATTTAGTGAGTATACTAACCACTAATAATGCATATCTGTACAACTATGTTGAGGCTTCTTGAGGCTTTGAAATGCATTCTAAAAATGTCATAACATTGCGAACTCTTTTAACATTTTAATTTGTAAGCTGTGTACACAAATATTGTAAATTGCATTGAGCATTCTCTCAGCTATATAAGAACACATTTGTGATATCACATGCGTTGGCTGATCACGTGGCAGACACTTATATTTTTTCATGCGTTACACATAAATTACATCGACACAGTTGATAGACACAATTGTTAATTATTATTTGTTACATTAATGAACTTAACTTATTCTAGTAAAACTGAAAAGTGCTTGGAATAACTTGTGTGCAAAACTTTTCATCAGAAGTTTAACTTACCCACACATCTGAGAGTATTTTCCACTCTGGATTGTAATGAAAGGGAAACTAATTGCAATTTTTTTTCAAGCAGTCTTTGGCTAGAGAACATACTCCTCTAATGGATTTCTACAAGATTTCTAAAATTAATCCTTATTAATCACCTACAGCAGTCTCGTTTAAGCACAATAATTAACATCTACCTCTCACCTGAAACAAGGAAAATTTCCACGTTTATTTTGGTTTTCATATTCAATTCACTGAATTTCAATTGATAATGAAACAAAATAATGTTTTAAGTATTCAATACTGCATTTACAAGTACAACTAAGACATATAAATTAAGTATTCAATAATATAATTGCATTCCCAGCTACAACTAAGACTTAATTATGAATTTAGCAATAATGTTCTAAAATTTTACATACAGTTTAAAATAAGGAATAAAAGTTTATAACACTCTCCCCTGTCATGAAAGCTCAAACTTGCAGTGACCTGACATCGTATTCCATCAGGACGTTGTTAACTTGATAGTTTATAGAAGTGACTACCTAGGATGCACTGTTATATCTTATAGCAAACCTTAATATACCTGCTTGGATTCAGAAATGTGTATTCATCAAATGTGATTTAAAATACATGTACTTCTAATGAATTTATCAAATCATCTGCTAAATATAAACATAAAAAAAAATAAGCCAAGAATACTCTATATATTTTTAGTGGGATTAGTACTTATGCTTTTGAATAATTTGGTTCCCTTTTTTACTAGATACATGAGCACAAGTATAATTTTAATCTACGTCTGCTAAAAATAAGAGACAAGAAACTGAGTGTGATTGAGGAAATCCGTGAATTGGTGGCTCAACTTGGAGAGGTTCAGAGTAACTTAGATAAATCAAAGCACAAGCCTATTCCTCCAGTCCCTAAAATGTACCCAGATGAAATGCCAGAGAAGTAAGTTACCAAATTTAGAATATATACAGTTGAATTTTGGTATCTCAAACATTGATATCTTGAGTACCATGGATATGTAAAAGTGATTTGGAAGTCTCAACCGCTTAATCCTTAAGTAATTTACCCTGAATATCACAAATCTTGGAAAACTCAAAGTATTTTCTTAGTCCCATCAAGTTTGAGATAATGAGGTCTGTCACTATTTATGCACTGTAATTATTTTATTATTATTTTATTTACAAACCCGAGTTGGAGATAACGAGGTTTGACTGTATATTTGTACTGTATGTTTGACTGTAATTATTTCACTTACACTGCTTGTTCACTTACCAGGTACATGCCTATTTTGCAGGAAATTAGAATACACCAGAGACACCTTGCTAGCTTTTAAGAAGGAGATGGAAGTGAGAGCCAAAGAAGCCAAGGGAGGTGGTGGGTTTGGAGGTTTTGGGGGATTTGGAAACACTGCTGACACAGCTAAGGACAAGGTAACTTATACATGTGAAAGAAATTCTAAGTGACATTAAACAGTGAGAATTTCCTGTCATTTAAGATGTCAAACACTTCTTCCAGGGAGGATCACCGACCCCTAAACCAAGCACAATAGTGAGTGATTCTAAGGCTGGGGAGGATGAAGAATTGGAGGAAATAGAGATTTCTCCACTAGAATTACAGATGAAGGAAAGCATGGAAATCAAGTATGTCAAAAACCAAATTTAGTGTCTTTACAAGAGGTGTCATTTGGTGGATCTGCGCACTGCCATTTATAATTCTAGTCATTCATTACTTTAGTGTGTTTCTATGTGCCCTTTAAATCTGTAGGGCATTCATATTATTTGTTAAATGATCAGGAATTTTGATGCTCTCTGATTGGTCCAGATGATCTTTTCTGAGGTGTACGTACCTCAGAATATATTAATTTTGGGAGGTTTAATCACTAACTCTTTAATGACCAATCAAATTGCATGTTTTAAAGCAAGCATCATGGTAAATGTAAAAATGACAGATGCCAGTATCAAAAAGAGTGAACTTTATTATTAATCATTTCACTATACTGGTAAATTGTCTTTAGAATACTGGCTTTTAGTTGTTAAGCTGTTAATTGAAATATTGTTATGATGAGTTGTAACACAACAAATTGTCAGATCGGATCATATTATGATCGGATCATATTTATACATATTAGTCTTTAGATCTGGTTAAAATATGTACTTTTTGACAGGATGCTATATGAGCAAGATCGACTTCTGGGAAGAATTGAGGAGCTGTTGTTAAACTTTGATGCTGAACTTAGACTGTTACGCCATGATAAGTTCAGGCTAGATATAGTGATGAAAAATGCTGACTTAAGGTAAGTTTCCAATGGCAAAAACATTTTGTTATCACTAGTGGACAATCATAAGAATGTTTGACTTTAGAGATTGATTTCTGATAAACAGGCAGGTAACCCTATTTGAAGAATTTGTTCTGCTGAAAGAGTATGAGAAGAGAGAGGACGTAATGGAGGCCAAAGTGTCAGGGAAACAACAGGAGAAACTGGAAATGCAGGCTAAGGTCAGAATAATCCTCATATCTAATGATTGATTATTGGGCTCAGCTCTAAATTTATACAGGAAGTCATCCCTTCTTCCTTACAACAGGTGGCCCATAAAGACAACAGTACATATATATTAAGATTCTTGATTGTAATTTTATTCTCATTAGATAATTGAGCTGCAAGGAAAGCAGGATATGAAGAAAAAGGAGATTGAGAAGTTACAGGAGAGAGAGAAACAACTGTATGCTCAGTTCCAGCTTTCTCTAGGGGAAAACAACAAGTTTACTGACTACCTGACCAAAGTATTCAAGAAGAAAATCAAGAGGTCCAAAAAGAAAGTCACGGATGGAGAGGGTACACCTATGTTTAACTTTAATCTTTCACTGTATTTGAACAACAACAACAGAAAAAAACAATGAAACTGTCTACTCCAGATATATTAAAAGTCAGGAACCAACAATATTTTTTTCGATTCCTGACAAATAATAGTTAGTTTACAGTCACCGAAGTTTAAAATAAGCGACATTTCATTTTTACAATGACGATTCATTTTTAATTGTTCCTTAATTTTTTTCAAGAACAAAAGGGCCCTGATTGGGACTATTAGAGACTATGCCATCATAATCAGATAGTGCAGATTCAAGTTAGTTCAAATCATGGCTCCCTAGGGTAGGATGGGGCCTCAATAGGGGATCAAATTTTACATGGGAGTATAGAGGGGGGAAATGTTTAAAAATCTTATTTTTTCAATAACAACAGGGCCATGATTAGGGATATTAATATGCAAACATTCTCAGGTAGTGCAAATACAAGTTCGTTAAAATCATGGTTCCATTGGATAGGGTGGGGCCACAAAAGGAGATTATCATGGAAATGTATAGGAAAATATTTTTAAATTTATATTTTTACAGGACCATATATTTAGTGATATTAAGATGCGAATCTCTTCAGGTAGTGCATATCAAGTTTGTTCAAGTCATGGCCCTGTGGGTTAAGATGGGGATACAATAGGGATTAAAGTTTTACATGGGAATTTATAGGAAAAATGTATAAAAATCTTCTTTTCAAAAACAACAGGGCATCGATTAGTCTGTAATCGAAAGTTGTGAAGATTCAATTTATTTTTCAGATAATGGTTTAAATCAGGAAGTAAATTTTACTTAATACATGTTTACTCTTGCCAAACAATAAGGTCGTATTAGTCATAATGAAATTGAAGCATCCCAAAGATGTGTTGATTTGAGTTAAGTAATGTCATGACTTTTTGGGCTAGGATGGGGCCATAATTTTCATGTGAATAAAATTTGGAAAATATTTTTAAAAAAATCTTTTGATGAAGAATAGGAGGGCCAAGGTGACTTAGATAAGCATTGTGGCCCATGGGCCTCTTGCTTGATTTTGTTTTGTAATGAGTCTTTTCTTTTGAAAATAGAAATTGTAAACTCTGATATGATTTTCTGTAGGTTCTGATGAAGACAGTGATGAAGATTCTGATGATGAGTCTGACTGGGATGAAGATGATGAAGAGTCTGAGGAAGAAGGAGGATATGACCTTGACATTTGTCCCCCAGGCTGTGATCAGGTAATACAATCTCAATGTTGTCTGGTATTCTGTCGAGATACAGGTAATTTATTACCTATAGCTACCAACCAGCTGTTAACTGTGGAAAGTATCCAAGAAACTTGAATATTTTTGATTAATATTTTGACAGAATATCTATGATAATACTTGTCAACTGAGGGAGAAGAAATTGGACATTGAGGAAGCTCTACAAGAAGAGAAGAAGAATAATGAAGCTTTACGGAAAGAAACTGACAGCAACAATAAGAAGCTGAAAGTAGTGGACAGTGCTCTGAAAGCTGCCCAAAATGACCTTGAGGCCTTCCAGGTACAATCTATAAAACAGAATTGGTGCTGTTTATGGTCAAAGTTTCTTACTTAATATCAAGGTTTCTGTAACAAATCCTGCAATGTTTGCATGTGTTCAGTATGTGTACCATACCAACATATTGGCATGACCCTGACAAATAAAGATATTATTCCATCTATAGCTGGAGAAGCAGCAGAAATTGAACGAGTTGGATGTGGTGGTGACTCTGAAGCTCCATCAGATACAGTACATGATAAATGGCATCCTCCCCCAGGATCTTTCCCAGACACTGGTGTTTGAGTCACATGGTGTCACCAGACTTCAGCAAAGAATCAAGGAACTGGAGCATGAAAAGCACATGCAGAAGAAACACATGAAGTCAGTACTTGTATATTTTGTAAAATACTGGAAAATTAGTTTAATTATTATAGATTATGTAAAAAAAAAAGGTAAAGCAGAAATGATGGAAACTTGAAAAAGGAAATGAAGTGATTAAATTTCCATCAGTAATTTTTACTTCTATAATATTTGTCTTTATGGCATCTAGTACAATGAAAGTGAGAAAAACAAATTTTCCTTGCACTGGGCATGAAGAAAATACATAACTTGGACAATGAGAGTAAGTCTAAAAAAAAAAAAAGAATTGTTTTCACACAAATAAATAACTTTCAATTCTTTTGTAGGGAATCAAGAAGGAAACATGTTCAGCTCATTAAGGACAGGAAAGTGTTTGACAGCAAAATTTCAGAAATGGAGGAACGCACCAATGAAATGATGATTGCTAAGTTTGGTAGGATTGTTGATTTAGAAAAATTGGAGACAATTACTGTAAATAGGCAAATTGAGGAACTGAAGGAAAAGTTACGTTTGACCGAAATTCAATGTGCAGAGGAATTAGAAGTATGGGATGTAAGTATGACGTTTGATACATGTCAAAAATACATCAAAAAATGGACTACAAACTTCCATTATCTTGTGATCTTACACATAAAGTATGTGTTAACTTTAAGACATACAGTAAATACATTTATAGCTTCATTATAAACACATTTTGTTATATTGTTTAAGTTCACAATACCTTTTAAAACTGAGGGAAATGAAAATCACTTCACTGTAAGCATAAATTCATTACAATAAATGTTGGCTTTAAGCGTGTTTTACTGTAAAACAGTTATAAAAGTGAACCCCAGAAAAAAAATCTAACATTGTTTATTTATCTCTGTAACTAATTGTATCTCATTTTCTTTATTAAAAAAATAAGCAAACAGAATGCCTGGTAGATGTAGTGTTCAGAGAATATTGGTGTAATTTTATGATCTTAAATACAATTAATATAGATTATAATAATACTCAAATGCACAGTCATGGAAGAAAAACCAAAAATAAGCTCTGCTGGAATCAAAATTCTGATGAACATGCAGTTTTCCAAGAAGATGCTTTAAATCACTAAGCAACTGATAAACAATGCAAACAACAGGACATTTAATATAGTAATGAGCTTTAATTATGCATGTTTCCAACTTAGTCATTATAAATAATCAGCAAAATTTCTTTTATAGGAAAAAATAGCCGAGAAGAAAGCTAAAATCACAGCACTCATCCGTGATAATACAAATAGACTGGATCAACTTTGTCTATTACTGAATGAAAAGAAATCTTATGAATCAGAGCTGGACTCCAGACAGAAGAATTCTGTGAGTGTCTGCTTTTCATTATTCATTTTTTTATACAGTTTTCTTTGAAAGAACCAAGAGACTAAAAAAAAGTCTCTTTGACTTTATAGAATGAGAGAAATTTATCATACTCCCTTTACATCTATTCATACCAACCCAATTCTTCTTTGAAACTGGGAATTTCAATAACCACTCTTTCTTTCTAGATTTGAAAAATCTCAAGTATTTTAATATTAATATAGAAATAAATTTAACATGCATACTTTTTCCACAGGGTCAGGAATACACAGGTGCTAGAAAGGCTGACATCAGGGAAAGACAGAGGTTAATACAGCTGGTTCAGCTCCAGGCCCAGGAAATTGACGCTTTGAAGGAGGAGATCATGCTCCTATCCCGGAAAGGAGGGCATATTTTGCCCCCTGCACAACCCCCACTCCCCCAAAGTCCCCCCAATATGAGAACAATAAGTAATTAATTAAAGAAAGACTTGCATTTTGAACATCAATATTTGAAATACATGTAATTTAAATGTCACAAATAAGTGTCGATTTTATTATGAATCACCAGTACAGAGTAGCAGCTTATTTTGGCAGGTAGTTAATTTTGCTGATTTAGTTGAAAAAGTAACCAGAAACAAATTGGGTTGCATATTTTTGATAAATTCTCAATATCAATCCATTTCACTGAACATATGTAACATGATTAGAATATATGTTCTCATAGTGACAACTAACCAAAATTAGTAGCCTACCAAAATAACCCACTATAAAGTACTTCATTTTTATCAAATTATTGGATGCTTTGCAAATATTGATTTAGATTTATATGTCTTACTGACAAAATTAAATACCTGAAGCTTTGTCCCAGTGGAGCTGAGATTTGTTTTTTTGTAAATCTGATTTCCGTCCTAATTATCCTCTCTTTTTACCTATGGAGGACATATTCACTGTGATATTGACTGTGTTATTTATATTTTCTTTTTAATTATGATAATTATGTCAAAAAACTTAAATACAAGAAATGTACTACATGAACAAGTGTGCTTGATTTATTGAATAAATAGGTCATACCACTTTTACTATGTCAAGCTTTTGTTAAAATTAATGAGAGAGCCTAATTTTCAGAAAGAGATTCATTCAAGTTTGTATCAGGAAAGTAGGGAATTTATGACTTGACTGGGAATCCAACAGGAACTCTTCATCACTAGTCAAGTGTTCAGCCACTGAGCTATCTAAGTCCATTTAGCCCAAACTATCACATTCCTCCCTACTTAACAGGTAAATGTCTTTGCCCTCAGAGACTCACAATCCAGATTCCATAGGCAAGACTTTCACCTGCAGGTCCAGGGGTAGTCAACATTACCAAATGTTACAGGAAAGGAGAGAATTTATGACTGAACTTAGATCAAACCCAGGACCCTGAATAGTCTGGTGCTCTAACCACTTAGTCATTCAGACCAATATCCATGGTCAAGTTAGCCCAAACTACCACAAGTAGTAAGTTACACACTTAAGACAATAGTGATATATGGATGATATTCATTTATTCTTGTAAGCTGTAGGCTAAATTATTTGAACTTTTGTTCACATCTTCAACAAGAGGCCCAAGGCCTAGAATCACTCTTCTGATAAATTGTACAACCCTATTATTTCTTTTTAAGTCTTTTGGTATCCCACTTTGAAAAGAAAGTTCAGGTCCTACAGATGAGACCTTAAAAACCGATGCCTGAGTCACAGTGCGCTTTGGCACAATAAAGAATCATCACTGCTTAATGGCCCTGAGTGCTGAGTAAAGATCTAAATTTGAAGCCCACTGGTATATGGTGATGTCTCTATATGAGTGAAAAATTCTCAAACAGGACATAAAACAACAATCAATCTTTTTGTCCTACATATGTAGATAAAAGTTTGAAATTCCAAAAACAGTTCACACTGACCTACTTTTTGGTTGAAATACTCCAGGGACCCAAGACGCTTCAACTGAAACAAGAGGCCCAAGGGCCTTAATGGTCACCTGAGTATAATACAACAATTTAGAGGATCCATAGAGTATAAAATGAACTGAAAGGTGAAGCTTTGTTGCCCAAAAGCAAGAAAAATAGGGTGATCAGGATCAACAAAATAATTAGTCTAGTTTTCATTAACAGTTCATAAATTAGGTTCTAATCTGTTCCCCATTTATCACTATCACCATACAGTATATTAACAAATTATCAGTGATTCTGTACTATTTTAATTCCTTGATGAAATCTCTTACATTGGACTCTGTTGGTCTTTGATGAACATTGAATTAGACAAGTTATTTTTGTCTCATTTTTTATTTATCTATTACCTACAAGTCTACCTAATCATTTAAACTATAAAAGTACTTTATGTATTATACAATAAAAAATCTTGCATAATTCTCCTATTCTATTAACCTTTCAAGTACATTATTTACAGTGATTAATTATCAAAAGTAAATGGCAAAGGGGAATAACTCCTCTCAGTTGAATACAAATTAATAGAGCCCTGGCCAGGACCAGAACACTTGACCAAATGGTCCAGATGTTCAAAAATCTTTATTAAAACTTTTACTCTTTTTGCCTCTGATATGACCAAGTGCAAAGAAGATTTTCCAAAAAAAAAATAATGCATTTTTACTACAGATTCACTATATTGTCAATAGAGCCCCCCCCCCCCTTCCCCCTAGCACCAGAACCCTGACCTTGGGGCCATGACTTTCACAATTTTGGTAGAGTAACCCTTGCTTATCATAACTATGTATTCAATTTGTTTCAATAATACCCAGGAGTAGAGAAGAAGATTTTCAAAGAAATAATGCACTTTCAATATATGATCTATATAGCCCCGCCCTAGCACCAGAACCCCTGACCCTGGGACCATGAATTTCACAATTTTGGTAGAGTCTCCCTTGCTTATCATAACTATGTATTCAATTTGTTTCAATAATACCCAGGAGTAGAGAAGAAGATTTTTCAAAGAAATAATGCACTTTCACTATATGATCTATATAGCCCCGCCCTAACACCAGAACCCCCGACCCTGGGGCCATGAATTTCAAAATTTTGGTAGAGTCTCCCTTGCTTATCATAACTATGTATTCAATTTGTTTCAATTATACCCAGGAGTAGAGAAGAAGATTTTTCAAAGAAATAATGCACTTTCACTATATGATCTATATAGCCCCGCCCTAGCACCAGAACCCCTGACCCTGGGACCATGAATTTCACAATTTTGGAAAAAGTATCCTTGTGCACCATTACTATGCACTTAGTTTGTTTAAATAATACCCAGGAGCAGAGAAGAAGATTTTCAAAGAATTAATACATTTTCACTATATAATCAATAGAGCCCTGCCCTACCACCAGAACCCCTGACCCAGGGGCCATGAAATTCACAATTTTGAAAAAGGCATCAATGCTTATCATAACCATGCACTTAGTTTGTTTATATAATATCCAGGAGCAGAGAAGAAGATTTTCAAAGAATTAATACATTTTCACTATATAATCAATAGAGCCCTGCCCTACCACCAGAACCCCTAACCCTGGGGTCATGAATTTCACAATTTTGGAAAAATCATCCTTGTGCACTATTATCATGCACTTAGTTGTTTAAATAATACCCAGGAGCAGAGAAGAAGATTTTCAAAGAATTAATGCATTTTCACTATGTAATCAATAGAGCCCCGCCCTTACACCAGAACCCCTGACCCTGGGGCCATGAATTTCACAATTTTGGAAAAGGCATCATTGCTTGTCATAACTGTGCACTTAGTTTGTTTAAATAATACCCAGGAGAAGAGAAGAAGATTTTCAAAGAAATATGCACTTTCACTATATGATCTATATAGCCCCACCCTAGCACCAGAACCCCTGATCCTGGTGCCATGAATTTCACAATTTAGGTAGAGGGCCCAATGCTTATTACAATCATGTAAACAGTTTGACTGCTTGATGTCCAGAAGTAAAGAAGAAGATTTTTAAAGATTGCATCAATTTTGGTGGTTTTAGCCCCACCCCTGGGGCCCCAGGGGGGCAGGGACCATGAAATTCACAATTTTTGTTCCCCTTCACCCAAAGATGCTATAAGCCAAAATTGGTTGAAATAGGTTGAGTGGTTCTAGAGAAGAAGTTGAAAATGTTCAAAAGTTAACGCACGAATAGCAATAGGTCACCTGAGTGACTAAGGTGACCTAAAAAGTTTAATGATTCTAAGCCTCTTATTATTCAAAATATTTAGAAATAGCTGTGAAATTTTGAAAGTAGGTTACCATGACCTACTTTATGGTTAACATACTAAGGGAACCCAAGATGCAGCAACTGACAAAATTTGATGATTCTAAGCCTCTTTTTATTTCATATATTTAGATAAAGCTTTGAAATTCTAAAAGTAGATCACTGTGACCTACTTCTTAGTTGAGACACTCTCATGACCCAAGATGCATCAACTGACAAAGTTTGATGATTCTAAGCCAATAAGTATCTGAAATATTTAAATGGCCATGAAATTCCAAAAGTAGGTTACCATGACTACTTTTGGTAAAAATACTCCCAAGGACCCAAAATGCATAAACTGACAAAGTTTGGTGATTCTAAGCCTCTTATTATCTGAAATATTTAGATATAGCTAGTGAAATTTCAAAATTAGGTCACAGTACCTACTTTTTGGTAAACATGCTCCAAGATCCCAAGATGCATTAACTGACAAAGTTTGATGATTTTAAGCCTCTTATTATTTAAAATATTTAGATATCACCTTCAAATGCCAAAAGTAGGTCATCATGACCTACTTCTTAGTTGACACATTCCAAGTACCCAAGATGCATCAACTGACAAAGTTTGATGATTCTAAGCCAATTAGTATCTGAAATATTTTAATATAGCCAAGAAATTCAAAAAGTAGGTCACAGTGACCTACTTTTTGGATGATACACTCCAAGGATTCAAGATGCATCAACTTACAAAGTTTGATGATTCTTAAACAACTAAGATTTTCAAAGATTTTTCCTATGTATTCCTATGTAAATATTTAATCCCCCATTGTGGCCCCACCTTACGCCTGGGGGTCATGATTTGAACAATAAATCTACACTATGTAAAGAAGGTTTCACGTAAGTTTCAACTTTTTTGGCCTAGTGGTTCTTTATGAGATTTTTAAAAGATAACATCAAATTTTCACTAATTCTTAATTATCTCCCCTAGGAAGAGGGAGTGACCCTTCATTTGAACAAACTTGAATTCCCTTCACCCAAGGATACTTTGTGCCAAGTTTGATTGAAAGTGGCCCAGTGGCTCTGGTGAAGAAGATGAAAATGTGAAAAGTTTAAAACAACCACAACAAAGGACAAATTTTGATCAGAAAAGCTCACTTGAGCCTTTGGCTCAGGTGAGCCAAAAATGCAACACAAGAATACTAGCATGGTGCACCAAACATTTATCAAGATATTTCATTAGCATTTCTTTCTAATATGTCCTTTAAAAATCTACAGTGATCGTTCTTATAGTGTATTCAATAGCACACTGCCCCAGCTTCCCACCTCCAGCGGGAAAGACTTCCAATAAGTTAAGGTAGTACACAATGGATAGGCCAAAATTTTCCTCAAATACAATTTTTTTGAAACCTTGATATTTTGTTCTAGGATACAAGATCTCTATGTAATATGAAAGAAATTTAACTGCACAATTTTTACCCACATTGTTTGAAATATGGCCTATCAGACCCCTGTTAGAAAATTGTGAAATCAGACATTCGACTAGAGAATGTGCCTTATTTAAATACTACTGTATCAATTGATCAAATGCAAGCTTTTGTGATGCTGTTTATAAAGACAACCTTTTTGCTACTAAAATTCAGTAAAATATGCTGATACCGGTAAATTTGAGTACCTGGTAAAATGTGATGTTAAAATAGAACATACATTACCCCGGAATTGAAAATTCACATGTAAATATGCTACACTTCCAAGTCCTTTTAAGAGAAAATGTACAATTCAATTTTCACAAAAAATCAACAGAATGGTTGAAATGGATCCCAAAATAAAATGTGTCAAAATACAGAAAATTGAACAAGTGGTTTCAGATATTTTGGCAATTAAAAAATTCATGGCAAAAAACTTAAAAATTTCAGTAGATGACATCACAATATTTGACCTTTGACCTCTTAATATGACCTTGACCTTCATTGTACATAAAGAATAGAGACTCCTTATATACATTTCCAAATATCAGCCCTCTACTATTCATGGATCAAAAGTTACTTTGCATTTAATGACAGACACATTAGACACATTCTAAAATGTAGGCCCCCAAGTGGCAAATATATAGGATGTCTCTAATTTTTTTAACAAAATACAGCAAAAAACATGTCACTGCTTATTAATTTCCTTACAAAGATCATTGATTAGTGATATTACATGTATAGCCATATTATTCTTTTTTCTCATATACAGGGTGTTTCAGAAAACATGCAATCATTTTGATTGATTAAATTTTACTGGTGTTTCAACCAATACCATGCACCAACATATCAAATTAAAAGTCACAATTTCAAAATTTATACTTTTGAAAATAAAGTTAATATGGCAAATAGATAATGAATTACAAAAGAAAAAAGAAACTTGTAAAATTTCACTTAGTTACAAAATATGTTCTAAATGTTGTCATTTTTGCTAAATGAATAAATCTATTCGATGCAAGAAAGCTCTCATTACTATTGCAGAGAGTCTCTTGGTAATGAATCAGGTCTCATTTTTCAAACCATTTTGAGTTCATTTGTTTTTGAGGGTGTATTTTAAAAACTTCGACCTTTAAATATCCCCACAGATAAAAGTCAAGGGGTGTTAAGTCAGGTGAGTGTGGAGACCCAATTAAAATGGATTTGAAAGAGTTGAATGGTCCTCCAAACATTTGTTCTAACAAGTCCAAGGTTTAAGATTCAAAACATATTTCAGCATCTGATCTACACTTGACTTTTTTCCCAAACTCAGTTATTTTAAAAAAGGATTTCATGCGAGTCTCTGGAACAGTGCCTCTTTTGTAACATTCTAAATGTTTTCATGTGTTCTAATTGTCTTTTTCCTTAATTTTTTTCTTCAAATTTCTTTGAACATGCATTAACTCTTCCATTAGCTAAAAATTTTTTACAGATTTATACAACTTCCACTTTATATTACTATTAATAAGTTTTATTGCATTCTGCATCCTAATCACAGGAACTGGTGACATGCTCTAATAAAGCAGTATCAGAACTCCTCTGACGAATGCTAATTTTTTTTACCGGTACTAAATTCCACATTAAGAATAAAATTATCTGTTTTTTTCAGTGATGTCAAATATGACGCTATAATTAATTCAAATGGTTTTTTATTTTTTTCTAAATTTTTGTTATTAATAAAAACTTTAGCCTTTTTAGCATAATTTTATATAAAATTCTCATATGTTCATGTTTGCATATAAATAAACTTAGGAAAGTAAATGGTTGCATGTTTTCTGAAACACCCTGTACTTTGTAAGAAATGAGTTAAAAAAGATTTTATGGGTGTTTTGTACTACCTTAGGTAATCGTGATATAAAGTATTGCTTAGTGGTAGGTGGTGCTGGAGAAGAAGTTGGAAAATATGAAATTTTCCAGAAGACAAGCACTAGACTCTTTCCAATCAAAGTCTTTGGTCCTGGTGAGCTAAAAATATACATAACAACAATTTCCATACAGGTTGTAATATTTATTCATAACATATCAGGTTTAGGCAGCCGATACACCCCTCCTGAAAATAACAACTTTTGATCTCTGACTTTTGAGTCTAGAAAATGTTTAAGTTCCGGAATGCTACATTCCACAACCGATGGTCCTTGCATGGCAAACATTCTCAAGATACTGTGGATTCTATCTATTGTCAGACTCTCCAAGTTTGTTAACATACCCACAATATAGGACCAGAATACCTGAAATCAGAGATGAATACATGTAGTGGTAAAGGTAAAGTAGTTAGGCAGGTAAAATACAATCTCAATCAGAACTAGTAGACCAATTGTTCAAAGAACAATCAGAGGTCTTTCCACCATCTTTAAATTTATTATTTTATATATATATATATATATATATATATATATATATATATATATATATATATATATATATATATAGACAGATAAATTTCATGAAAAGAAACAAGAAATGGCTTAAAAGGTTGCAAAAAAAAAAATTTAAAGAAATTAAAGTGACCTTGACCTTTGACCTTCACCAAATTTTCAAGTTCAAAGGTTAAGAATCATGTTGCAGTTGGTGCCATGTTTCCACAGAAAGGTGGAAAGACCTAACTAAAATAAATCATAAAGAATCACTTTTCACACATTACATATGTAAAAATAAAGAAGTATCCATGCTGATATCTTCTCCTAAAAATAATACCTGGAGCTCCTCCTCTCTCTGTGTCTGGGCAGAAGCCATTGCAGATTCAGCCTCATCATCGTCTGTTACAATCACGTCGTGAGCTCTCCCTTTGTGCTCCTCCACCAGGACAAATTTATCTGTGACCTCCTCTCGGAGGAGACCCTGGGTTTGCCAGTAAGCAATCTTCCTCCTCAGAGCTGTGGCTGGCATTTGGAGGACATTGCTCAGCTCTTCCACAGTCCAGGTTTCTGTAATGGTAATAAATTCCTGGTAAATTATGATCTTGTTTAAGGTTAAAGTATTCATTATAGTAGTAACTATTAATCTGTCTCCAACACTTCTAAGATTAAACAGTGTTGAAATTTACACATATTTTTACAAAACTGCAGCAACTTGACTGATGCAGTTAAAGATAATAAATATTCTCTTATTACATTAGGATCACAATTTTTTCCCTGCTCAATACATATCTACACAATTCCTAAGATAGTCACATTGTACCATACCTTGTGACTGGAACTGAATAATTATTGCAGCATGCACGGGGGAAACGTTGAAATTCAGTGTACGGTCTTTCAGTTCCACATCAATATTCACCAAACCTAAAATTAAAGAATAAAAATTAAGGTTTAAAAACAAAAATCGCAAGAACAAATAGAGAAATTGTAAGGCATATTTTAGACACTCAAAGTTAAGCCTTACACCAAAGTTGTACGGGTTGGCAGCTCTGTAAAACTCATCTGCTAAGTAATATCTCACAAAACATGTACCAGTATACACATTTACAACAAGCACTTACACAACAGTATTCAGAAATGTAAGCCTCCATCAATAGGTCCTTTAATAAAACATGTGATAAAAAATTATTTTGACAATGAATCTACAACAGGATCAGGAGTTAAAAACCATTCCAAGTAAACACTCCTTCGGACACTCTATCTAACCGTCATTTAACCTTCATTTGATGATATTTTTTTTAAAAAAAAAAAAACCATCCACCCAATCAAAATATTTTGTATTCTGAGAATTTTATTCACTAAACACTCAAATCTCTTCTATATACTTAATAATCAAACATCCTTATTTACTAAGCAGTCCAATACTATTAACCAACTTTTATTTGCATGTGAGAAATATCGGCAAGAGTTGCAACTTTCTTTGACTTGGAATATTTAAGTACCTCCAACTATCCTCCATAAGAGATTTCAGTCTGTCTATACTGCAATTGTCAGTCTACAATGATCCTTTTGGTATACTGATCTTGGCCCGCGTTTTACAAAAGAACTTACCACTAAGACCAAAATGGTATTTCGCGAATAACTTTCTTGTTTAAATAATATTTATTGGTTTAATCTTTTAAAAAAGAATTTATAAAGATAGTTTTATGCAAGCATGTTTTTAACAGAATCATGAATTTTGCAAAATTGTACAATAAGCTTAAGTTTTTGGTCTTGAGCTCATAAACATGTGATATAAATGCAAATTATCAAAACCTTGCCTCTCAAAATCAAAAAGACACAAGTTAAATCAACTGTACAGAGTATTTTTGCAAAGTAGGTCAAAGGTCAAGGGCCACTAGATCGGTAAGCATGGTATTATACAAAGGCCATAGTGCCAAGTAATATACATGTATGTGCAAAATATCAAATTCATACTTCTCACAATAGATATATGGGGTGACAGATGGACAAGGGATGGACAGACAGACAGATGCTGGGTAAAGTGATCCCTAAGTGTCGCTTTGCTCTGCAGGTGACACAAAAATGAGTTACATTTGATTTTTTTAAAACTTTTTAATATGATAAATGTGTTGAAATTGTGGAACTTATGTTTTTGAGAATTCATATACTCATATACAAGAGTGGCCTCTTGAAACAGGTGTGACTGTACCTAGATGAGGCTTCCAATTTAATGTTCTGTTTCCTTTAAGGGCCTCAAATTTCTTGGTGTATTCCTCCAGTGATTTCTGCATGACTTCTGGAAGCTTGATCTTTTCTTCTCTGAAGGCAGGCCAAAACTGAGCAGAGAGCACCATAGAGTTCACTTCAATCTCCTGAAACAGAACAGAGTTCATACTAATAAGTTTTTGAGACTGTAAATAGAGAGGACCAATAATGCAATAGAATGCACAGTTCATAGATATATTTACTGATAAGTTTCAACCACTTACAACAAATAGTAAAAATGCATTGTATGAACACATTATATAATAATAAATGTATAATTAGAGTTTGAAGGGTGAAATTCTACAGGTGAATAGTCAAAGTATTGTATAGCTGTATGTATATTTATAAAGTTTTCCACCAATCCAATTCAGAGAATTTTGGTCCCTCGCTTTCAGAATTTTATCGGTTGGGTGCAATGATCTATGGATGTATGACATATAATAATTCTCTCGTCTGTCCTATCTATCCATCAAACTAAAAAGTTAAGTATATATATTCATAACATTAAATATTTTAATAATTCCACAACATTCATCATTTTGTGTGTGCGGAGAACAATCAGAAATATTCTGTCATTATCAAAGAGAGATATTTGATATCCAGTACCACCAGGTGCAAAAAGAGTCTCCAAGATTCTTACTTTATATATGTATGTACACTCAATTTTGTAGATGCATTGAGGAATGATTTTTTTCCTTGGACAAAACTCCAAGATTCAGATATCGAAACAGTTATATGCAGTCAAACCAGTACTTCCATGTAAAATCACAGAATATGTGTATATACATTAAACAAAAAACAAAAACAGGGGTCTACAAACAATAATCAACAGCAGAGCCAGTTATCACAGAGATTCAAATAGGGATAATATTGCAGTCCATTGGATTCATGTTTAATATTTATTCCTTCTTTAGTTACTTTGATGAGTGTTTGGTTCCTTCTTATCTGCTATATATATTAACATGTTAATGACCATTTGTTATGTTTTTCTGCTTCTTCATAAACAATAATCATAGATCACTTTAACTAAAGTAAAATTTGAAAGTCTAATTTCTCAATGGTCATTAGCCCAAGTACAGATTTAAACATGATTATCAGCCTTTCACCAGCAATATTAGTGGCATACCAACATGAGTGAAAAATTCTCAAAGGGACATAATGCTGTTGACACGTCACAATATCATATTATTGTGAACTTTCATATTGCAATATCTGAACACTGTAAATATGCACACCTCTTATCAACTGCATTCATCATAACATTACTCTACCTCTCTCTCGGCAGATTTCCTCCTCTCATCCATTATCCTGGAGTTAAGTCTTTTAGAATCAGCCACATCCTTTAACATGACCTCACAATAATGAAGCTGGGATTCTCCAAATCTTAATTTCAGAAGTTCTAGATAACGAATTTCTTTCACTATTTCATAGTTAAACTGGGTCAATATTCGATCTGCCAACAGTGTTCGATATTCTTGCACAAAGAGTTCTTTGCTTCCATAAATGTTGACCAACATACTGATAATATCAGATGCCCTGCGGCTCTTTGATGTGCTTCCTATAAAAAAAATATTAAAAATGTCTAGGCAAAAATTATGCACTGTCATTGAAACAGATGAATTACTGCAAAAGCAGAAAGATTCATTGGGGGTTAAATTTTATTGATTTCATTTATCAATGAAATCAAACCCCACATGAAATTTTTATATGGATGGAATATGGTTACTTTTGAAACAAAGAAATTAAATCCCCAGGACACCATTTTAGATCTCAAATTTATGAATTTTTATCCCAATGCTTCTACAGTAATTTTCTTGGTATGAATCTGGCTTACTTGGATCAGCATCAACAGGATCTGGCATCCAATTCTCCCAATCCTCCAGCTCATCATCACTACTGCAGCCATCATCCAGCAAAGGCTGACCTTTCTGAAGTTCTTCCAGTAACTCATTACTGCCATCATCTGTCAGGTTTGATACAATCTGTCGGACAGTGTCATCCCTAGACCTACATATTGGATTCAATACACAATGAACTTTAACGAGTACTGCCCTAATGGACTAACCCCATCATCCCCCTATATATACTTCAAATTCCTGTGACTTGAATCTTGCTGAAATATAATTGGAGAAAGGTTGTAACACCTGTAGTTAGAAACCAACCTGTTGAGTATGAAAGTGTGACCTTTTAAAGTCCACACTTTAAAATGTCATGGACTAAAAAAGCTGAACTGTGAGGCTTTATTCTAATAACCATGGCTGGGAATCGCAACAGACTCATTGGTCACAACAAAACTTTGTGTCAAGTATGAACTTCAGATGCTCCTCTAATATAAAGTCTGACATTTAGAATCTAACATTTCCCAAACCTTCAAAATTTGACATTCTCAACCCTGTGACCTTGATCTTGTCTGAATGACCTTTGCTCGGGATTAAGACGAAATTTATTATCGATATCAAACCTCAGGCCAAGAATGATATTAAAGTAAATTAATTCCATAATTTGATCTAGCTGGAATGACCTTTGTGCAGGACTGTTACACCTCTTCCTGGTCACAAACTGCCTCTATGCATTGTATAAACTTCTCAAAGTTAAGACAAAGCTTCCAATGTTTCACCATTTTAAAGTTGTGGCAAGAAGAATGATTTAATAATTAAAGTCTTTGTATCCTGTGACTTTGACCTTGTCCAAATGACCTTGTTACAGGGTCAAGACACACCTCTGATCACAAGCAAGAACTGCCTTATTCTAAGGCAGTTAAGTATGATATTCTAAAGTTTCTTGGTTTCAAAGTTACATGTCCAAACAAGAATTTCACTCTTCTTTTTCTTAGAAAAAAAAAGGCCACTTTTTTCAACTTTGATTAACTTTGACAAATAAGTCTAAAAATACCAAGTGCACTAGTTCAAAAGGTACATATTTTTTCATGTCAAATTTAAAAAAATTCAATCTTCATTTCTGTGTGTTTGGATAGGGGGTAAAAAATTTTGAAAAAAATTTATTTTTCACTTATAAATTGCATATTGGAATTATGAACGGGTAATAAAATACCTTAAATACTTCCTGACTGGGTCACAGACAAGTTCAAGAATAACTCCGACTGGATCCAATATTCGGAGTGCTCGAATAGCAGCTATGTATGCTGTCAAAATGTCTGATGTATTTACACCTGAAAAACAATTTGTGCAATGAATTAAGTAAATCATCTGTAAAGTGAATCTATGTTTGTAATGAAGGGACTTCTGCTTACTCAATCAAATCAGCAAAAACTGTATGCAATGAACCTACCATTCTCTAGTGATACTTGGATTTTTATTGTTTAAAGAAAATATAGACTCATTGAGTAGGGAAGAAATCTACAGCATATTATTTAATTGTTCCATCCATTTTATTGAACATAAATCAACAATCAGTAATCAGTCATGTAAATCTTGAATATGTTTCTAATCTATATCTATTCATTTAGTTGGTATCTTTGCACATGTATGTAACAAGTTTTTCTGTGAAGTTGTTTATGTGTTTACCTGACCTAATGACACCTAGCATTTTACCTGTATTCACAAAAATAAAAACTAGATGCTCATCAAACTAAAGCTTGACACCATAACACACCAATATGTATGATCTTATCATGTTGATTTTTTAGTATTTCAATTTCTCAATTCATCCATAGAGGTAAACTGATCACATTATCTGTTGTAAGACTACCATGAAGGATTAATGATAATACACACACAGTTCATACATAAAGAGTCCAAACCTGGATGTAAAAGTCGAGTCTCTAGCGCAGTCTTAAGAGAAGAGACCAGTGTCCCTCTCAGGTCTGTCTTCTCTAAGCAGACCTTCAAATCCAGAATAGCAGGCTCAGACTCAGGGAACTCAATAATAATGTTAAACAGCTGATCAATGTGAGTTCTAGCAAAAGTCTCGTACAGAAAGTGCAGAAGTCTCCCTTTAAATCCCTCAATACAATCTGAGTAGGTGTTTCTGCAGTTTCCAGAGTACACCAGGGTCAGCCACCCCAATACTTTACTATCCAACCACTGTAGAAATAAGCAGCTCTAATATACCATGACATACTTTCACAATGAAAATTTTTAAATGACAGTTTTCTTTCCAGAATATGAGAATAAGTACCGTTTACTGATTTCAACAACATTTAAGAACTCAATTTTGATAACAATACATGTATATTTCCTTTACAAACTTTATATTCCAAGAAATTCTTAAGGAATCTCTGTCTAGTTAGTTATGTATGCCAGGGCATCAACGATAGTTGGAAACGTGGGATAATTTGCACAATGGGCGAAGCCCGTTATGCATAAATTATCCCACGTTTCCAACTATCATTGATGTCCCTGGCATACTCTACTAACTAGACAGTGATTCCTTATATTTCCATTTCTTTGTGAAATAAAATTGTAAATTTAGATTTTAAAAATGTAGACTAATACTGTCTAATAAATTTAAATTACACAAGGCCTCACATGTCAATGTCAATAGTCCCCACCCACTGACGTCAAACACAAAGACAGCCGCATGAGAATTACATGCATATTAGGCCTCCTTAGCGTCAGACAGCCGCACGAGAATTACTTAAGGAATCACTGTCTAGTTTGTTGGGTATGCCAGGGACATCAACGATAGTTGGAAACATGGGATAATTTATGCATAATGGGCGAACCCAACAAACTAGAAAGTGATTCCTTATATTTCCATTTCATTGTGAAATAAAATTGTAAATTCAGATTTAAAAAATGTAATCTAATAGATTTAAATTACACGAGGCCTCCCATGTCAATTTCAATAGTCCTCGCCCACTGACGTCAAACACAAAGACAGCTGCACGAGAATTACATGCATGTTAGGCCTCCTTAGCTCCTGACCTTTCGCTTGGCGAAATTTACATTCTGGTAGAATTATCAAGAAATCAACTCCGCTAACTTTCAAAGAGTTATCACAGAGAGAACAAATAGAAATGGAAATATATGCATATTAAGCCTTCTTAGCTCCTGATCTTTCGCTTGGCGAAATTTACATTCCGTTAGAATGATCAAGAAATCAACTCAACTAACTTTCAAAGAGTTATCACAGAGAAAACAAATAGAAATGGAAATATTTAACAATATTGTGTACACTTAATAGCACTTTCTTCTTAATCTCATAAAGTGTGTCTCATTTACTAACCTCTTCCAGATTTTTTAGGTATGAGGTTTCAAAATTGCCTTTACAAGTGTTTTCAATGTGATTCTTTATCCGCTCATGTACAATGGAGGTAACAGCCATACCCGATACTCTCTCCAAAATTCCAATGTCATCACTGCAAAACATTAAACATTAATCTGAAAGAAATGCAAAAACAATCTTCCCATCTCAGATAATTTCCATCCTAATGCAATTGTTTTGTAAAATGAATTTTGACTGGCTAATGCAATGATGCTTGAGGCAGTTAAACGAGCATTAACGAGAGTGAAAGCTTTTGATTGTGATGTCATAACAGAGCGACGCAAAAACACAACACTCCGTGGTGTATTTCATATAACAAAACTCAACAAAATAAGTAAACATGAAACAAAAGGCATAAATTGCATTAGAATGGGAATAACTATCTTCTTACTTGGTATTTGCGACTGTTAATGCTGATTTAACAGTCGCAAACATCTGTTTTACCTGCTCCGCTTATGTGTCGCCGGTAAACTCAGTTTGCGACCGTTAAATCAGCATTAACTGTCGCAAATACCAAATTAGAAGATAGTTATTCCCTAATTTACTGGTACTTAATATTTCTTAACCTAATAAATGCTTCACATAATTATTTGATCACATGACCTTCAAAATTGGGAGGAGGGATATTGAAGCAACTGAACCTCTTTAGATATTTATGTTAGGGTTTAAGATGGGAATGTTGATCTTCAAAACCTGGTTGAGGCATGTTCCAATACACATACTTGGTGTAGTCAAGCTACATATACTACAAGTACTTACAGTTGCCTGTTGATGGTATGGAAATTATCCAGAATGTCTTTACACACACAATCTTCTTGTTCTTTATCACAGCCCTTACATTCCTCTTCTTCCTCATCTATAACATCTGTAATTTACTCAGCTTCATTCATTCTCCATATCAAAACATCTTAAACATTTCAAACATTGATATTCTTTATGACTTTGTCAAAATTACTCCTGACATGTAATAAACTCTGAAGAGTGTTTATTATAAGCATTCTCCATATCAAAACACGTACCTTAAACATTTTAAACCACTGATGATATTCTTAATGACTTTGTCAGAATTACCCCGATGTAATAAAGCTCTGGAGAGAGTGTAAAACTGAATTTTCTTAGTTATATACTTCTGAGGTGTCTTACATGCTGGGTTTGACAAGCATTAATTGGATCCAAATTTTAACCCAGACCAGAAAGATGTAAACCTAGTATATTTTTACCTATACATGCACAATGCTAATATAATATTCCATGATTCAACTTCAAATAATTTGTAAAGTACAGTATAAAATAAAAAAGCCAATAACTTTTGTAAACCCTCCATTGTTGACAATTTTCTTTTTTACCACTTTATAATAAAAAAAAAAACACTCACTTTTCAAAATTCACCTGTCCATATTTGTCATTGCCTTAAAAACATGGAAATACAAGCATTCTGAAAGTATTGCATAGCAAGTGTAATCTGTTTCCCCGTAAAAATTAAAATGCCCCTAATTCCATCAAAACTTGTCAAAGTAGAACAAAATGAAATTTTGATCTGTAACTTCTCAAAGTAGACTCCCTTACCAAAAACCAGCTCAATATCTGCAAGCAGGTGGAAAAAAATGCAGAAAACCAAGTTGGACAAATGGGCAGAGGGACAGACAAGAAGGAAACCTATATTAGAGTCCCTTCCAGATTCACTGGTTGGGAACCAATTACATTATAACTATTGACAGAGACAAAGCAATTCCAGTCTAATAAAACTTACAAAATGAAATGTAAACTTTAGATAGCTATGTTGTTTTTTTTTTATAATATCTAATACAACAGTAATAAACTAGATGTGTCAGGGTGACATGAATGTTCCCACTCACAGCAAACTTTAAATATATGAAAGTCCAAGGGTGTGAAAATAACAATGGGTGGAAATCACACAAAAATATCATACTGCTGCTTTTGTTTTCTAGAATAAGTTGTTTATACCACAGCATACTATGTGCATGAAATGATTATCACTTACAAGCAAGGTAATAAACAATAGGACCAAGGGCCTTGAATCACTCTTCAGATAAACTGTACAACATATCACTTCTATTTGAAGCCTCTAAGTATCCTGTATATTTAGATAAACCCTTGAAATTCCAAAGGAAGGTCATCATGACCTACATTTTAGATGAAACACTCTGAGAACCCAAGATGATTCTAAGCCAATTAGTACCTGAGAGTTGGTCATGGTGACCTACTTATCACTTGTCATTCTCGGAGGACCCAAGATGCATCAACTAAGTTTGATGATTCTAAGCCAATTTTAAAATACCTAAAATATTTTTAAAATTATAACCATAAAATTTCAAAAGTAGGTCATAGTGACCTACTTTTCAGATGACATACTTCGAGGACCCAATATGCACTGACAAAGTTTGATGATTCTTAGCCAATTAGTACCCAAAATATTTAATTATAGTCATATAAATAGAAAAGTAGGTCACATTGACCTACTTTTCAGTCGACCTACTGCCAGGACCCAAGATATATCAACTGACAAATTTTGATGATTCTAAGCCATATTGTACCTGAAAATATTAAATAGAGCCATATAATTTCAAAAGTAGGTCAGGGTGACCTACTTTTCAGTTGTCGTACTCCAAAGACCCAAGATGCATCAACTGACAAAGTTTTATGATTCTAAACTAAATAGTACCTAAAAATATTTAATTATAGTCATATAAATTAAAAAGTAGGTCAGAGTGACCTACTTTTCAGTCAACCTACTCCAAGGACCCAAGATGCATCAACTGACAAAGTTTGATGACTCTAAGCCAAAAAGTACCAGAAAATATTAAACAGAGCCATAAAATTTCAAAAGTAGGTCATGGTGACCTACTTTTCAGTTGTCGTACTCCAAGGACCCAAAATGCCTCAACTGACAAATTTTGATAATTCTAAGCCAATTAGTACTCGAAATATTTAATTATAGTCATATAAATTGAAAAGTAGGTCACGGTGACCTACTTTTCAGTCGACCTACTCCAAAGACCCAAGATTCATCAACTGACAAAGTTTGATGATTCTAAGCCAATTAGTACCCCAAATATTTAATTATAGTCATATAAATTGAGAAGTAGGTCATGGTGACCTACTTTTCAGTTGACGTATTTCGAGATCCCAAGATGCATCAACTTACTAAGTTTATGATCATAGGCCTTAAAACGTCCAAATTTTGCCTCTAAAACACTTTGAAATTGAATGCCTGCAAAGTTCAAAAAGTAGGTCATGGTGATCTACTTTTTAATAAATATGTTTTATGGCCCCAAGATGCATCACCTTACAAGATCTAATGATTCTAAACCTCTCAGTATTTGTATAAATGACCTTAATTGTTTTGAAAAAGATTAGCCATAAAATTCAAAAAGTAGGACAAGGTGACCTATTTTTTAGTCAATGTACTCCAAGGACCCAAGATACATCGACTGACAAAGTTTGATGAACATAGGCCTTAAATTGTTCAAAATATGCCTCTAAATCATTTTGGAAAAGAATGGCAGCAAAATTTAACAAGAGGCCCACAGGCCTTATAGGTCACCTGAGTAACATGTATCAACTTTGCCCTGAGCCCTGATCTAACACTAGAACCTTGACCCAGTGCACATAAAATTCACAATTTTGAAAGAGGCACCCTTACTCATCATAACTATACTCTTACTTCATCAGCTTAATACCCAGGAGAAAAGGAGAAAATTTTCAAAGAATTATTGCATTTTTTACTATGTAATCATTAGACAGGGTTAGAAACTCCCTAAAATTACAACTCGCAAATAATTGCGAGTACCAAGAAAGTGAACTCGCAATTTTATAAGACTACTCGCAATTTTCATATAAAGTTAAATTTATATAAATTAAATACATGTAACTTAAGGAAAAAGTAACTACTGTACAATACACAAAATACAACTACAGTGTGGCTTTTATCTAAATTACTGATTTAAATCAAAAGCATTGTGTTCTATCATATTATATAATTTTGCTACAGTTTCAATGCAAAAAAAAATCAACTCGCAAGTTTTTGCGAGTTACCTAATTTTTAACTCGCAATTTGGGAATTCTAACTCGCATTTTGCGAGTTGCATATAGTGAATTTCGAACCCTGATTAGAGCCCCGCCCTTACACCAGAACCCCTGATCCAGGGGCCATGAAATTCACAATTTTGGAAGAGGCACCGTTACTCATCATAACTATGTATTCAGTTTGTTTGCTAAATACCCCGGATCAAAGAAGATTTTCAAAGAAATAATGTACTTTCACTATATACTCAACAGAGCCCTGCCTTAACACCAGAACCCCTGACCCTGGGGCCATGAATTTTACAATTTTGGAAGAGGCACCCTTACTCATCATTACTATATTCTTAGTTCATCTGCTTAATACCCAGGAGAAAAGGAGAAGAATGTCAAAGAATTATTGCAATTTTACTATGTAATCATTACAGCACCACCCTAACACCATAATCCCTGACCCAGGGGCCATGAAATTCACAATATAGGAAGAGGCACCCTTACTCATCATAACTATGCATTCAGTTTGTTTGCACTGGATTAGAGAAGAAGATTTTTAAAGAAATAATGCATTTTTAGTATATATTCAACAGAGCACCACCCTAACACCAGAATCCCTGACCCTGGGGTCATGAATTTCATAATTTTGGAAGAGGCACTCTTTCTAATCATAACTATGTACTTAGTTCATTGGCTTAATACCCAGGAGCAGAGGAGAAGATTTTTAAAGAAATAATGCATTTTCACTATATATTCAACAGAGCCCCACCCTAACACCAGAACCCCTGACCCTGGAGACATAAATTTCACAATTTTGGTAGAGGGCTCAATGCTTATTATCATGCCAATAGTTTGACTGCTTGATGTCCAGGAGTAAAGAAGAAGATTTTTAAAGATTGCATTAATTTTGGTGGTTTTAGCCCCACTCCTCAGGTCCCAGGGGGCAGGGGTAATGAATTTCACAATTTTTACTCCCATTCACCCATAGATGCTATATGCCAAATTTGGTTGAAAATGGTTCAGTGGTTCCAGAGAAGAAGCTGAAAATGTTCAAATGTTAACGCACGACGGACGATGACAGACGAAAACAGATAGCAATAGGTCACCTGACTCAGGTGACCTAAAAAGTAGGTCACCATGTCCTACTTTTGAGTCAACATGATATGAGGTCCTTAGATGCATCAACTGACAAGATTTGATGATCCTAGTCCTTATAGTAAGCAAAATATCAACATTTTAATAAAATATAAATTTTGGTTAACTTTGAAGTGACCTTGAGACCACGCCCTTTGACCCAGGGTGACACCTTGAAGAATTTTTAATCTTCAACATACAGTTTACGCACACCGCACAAATGGCCATAGCATTAACTCTTTGAGCCTTTGGCTCAGAAGAACTAAAAAGGTCCAGAAATGGTGAATAATAAATTTTTAAAAGCCGTAACTTTTGTAAAAATAGGTTAACTATCATGAAACTTATATTTTATCTGTAAGTCTTCAAAACAAAAAACAAAAACAAACCAAAGCTCATTATTTACAAGTAGAGCAAAAAAAAATTTAAAAAAGCAAGAGGCCCAAGGTCCCTGAATTGCTTTTCTGATAAATTGTACAACCTATCACTTCTATTTGAAGCCTCTAAGTATCCTGTATACATGTAGTTAGATAAAGCCTTAAAATTCCAAAAGTAGGTCAACATGACTTACATTTTGGTTAAAACACTCTGAGAACCCAGGATGAATAAATTGACAAAGTGTGATGATTCAAAGCCACTTATTATCTTAAATATTCAGATATAGCCATGGTATTATGAGATTCCAAAAGTAGGTCACAGTGACCTACTTTTGGTAAACATACTCCGAGACCCCAAAATGCCTCAACTGACAAAGTTTGATGAATTTAAGACTCCTATTATTTTAAATATTTAGATATTACCTTGAATTCCAAAAATAAGACACTGTGACCTACTTTTTAGATGACACATTCTGAGGACCCAAGATGCATCAACTGATAAAGTTGGATGATTCTTAGCCAATTAGTACCCGAAATATTTAAATATTGCCAAAATTTCAAAAGTAGGTCACTGTGATCTACTTTATGGTTGACATTCTCCGAGGACCAAAGATGCATCAACTGACAAAGATTGATGATTCTAAGCCAATAAGGACCTAAAAATATTTAAATATAACCATAAAATTTCGAAAGAAATTTCACAACTCTAGTTTTAGTACAAATGGGAGCCCTTGGGCCAAGGATACCCTGTGACATATTTGACAATCACTGGCCAAGGGGTTCTTGAGTTATGAACCATATTCTAAAAAGTTTACGCACACCGCACAAAAAAACCAAAACAAAACAAAACAGTAAATACAAGTTATTAGGAATTTTGAAAATCTAAAGGTAATTACTTTTGTAAATACAGGTCAATCATTACGAAATTTGAATTTGATTGATTGAATTTCTAAAACGAGTTAAGTTATTGACAAACAAGTTGATGAAACAAGAATTTCAGCAGTCTCGTTTAAAGTTGTCATTTCTTAAGTTCTATGGTCGATACAATGACCTTGTCAGCAAATACAAATTTATCATTTAAGTCAAATGCTGACTGACATTTTTCATGCTTATTGTTAGGCCATTATTTACACAATGAATTGTCGACGGTTTTTTTTTTCGTTTTTTCCCAAACATGACAAAGAGCACATGGCAGGTGTGACCGGTCGGCAGGGGATGCTCACTCCTCCATGGCACCTGATCCCATTCTGATGTTTTAGAGGTCCGTGTTTGCTCTGCTGAAAAAACTGTATTGTTTAATGGACTTTCAAGCTTGAATAATGTTCGTTATCTCCATACATTTCATTCGTAAGTCATAATAATCAACCGAAACATAAAAAATCAGTTCTTTATGAACAAGCACAGAAAAAGTCCTGAAAACCTTTAAATATTGAAAATTTTTCCAAGTCTAAGGGTCATACAGTAAATAGGTCATCAGGAAACTCAAACTTGATCTGTTAGTCATTAAGTATCATACCAAAAATCAGCTCATTATCTATAAGCATAACAAACAAATGTCCGGAAACAAATTATGACAGATTGATTGATTGTATATTGTTTCACTTCCCATTCGAGAATTTTTCACTCATATCTAGAGACGTCACCATATACCATTAAAGGGCTTCAAATTTAGACCTTTACTCGGCACTCAGGGCCATTGAGTAGTGAGGGATCTTTATTGTGCCAACACCTGCCGTAACACGGGGCCTCGGTTTTTAAGGTCTCATCCAACAGTCAAGGGCATAATGGAAACAAGTTATTTTTAAAATAATTTGTTTAAGTTATTAAATGTCATTATTTTGGGTTATCTTTCCCTGATTATGCTTTTCTTCAGTAACTTATTCTAGTTATTGATACTTTACTATTCATTATTTTAAACCTACTGGTATCTGAAAAGCTTTATTCATGCTGTACTTGGGTTATTAAGTAAATGGAAAAGGTTCATGACAGTAAAATTAATCTATCTTTAAGACTTAACGAGTTGAAATTCAACAAATCATAACTTATTTCTGTTATTTCAACCTTAACCAACCTCACTTTAAAACTCTTGCACAAAAATCTACAGCTTTGCACAAAAAATGTAAGACATAGAGATTGTACAGTAATATCCAAGGATTTTAGGAAAATTAGTCTCACTGTTGACAAAATTGGCAGAAGTTGTGTAATTGACCTCTGAAATGTTCATGAAATGGAATTATTTTTCCCTGAAAAATATCATGATATTTTGATAAATATCATCCTATCTGCTCAGGAGATATGAAGTCTGTTGAGTCTATTAAAAGAAGTACATATATTTACAACTTTCTCTACCTTACATCATCTTAAATCAGCAGCAAACTCAAAATATTGATGTTTTTTGGCAAAATTGATAGGCATTCTATTAACTCAAATGAGTTATTTCTTTGTTTAGTAATAAATAAGTGAAGTAACCTAAAAGAGTTATTTTAAAAAATAACTTGATTCCATCATGCCCCTGACTGTCCAAAGGACCCACCACTTTCACTTCAAAGTGCCGAGCGCATGAGGAAGGATAAGTTGCTACCTATTTTTTATCGACTTCGGTCAGACGCGGCCAAGATTTGAACTCATGACCTTCTGATCACGGAGCGAGCGCTCTACCAACTGAGCTACCTTGACTGTAAACTATGACAGAATGACAGAAAGAGATAGCACTACATGTCCTGGCCATTTCATGGCAGAGGGCAAAAAAAAATAACTCCGTGTACCTTGTTCCTCCTCATCCTCAGAAGTGCTATGGTGAAACACTTTGAAAGCTTGTGAATAAAACATCTCCACTGCAGTGCAAAATTTGGCAGGCAAAACAAAGAATATGATTGACTTAATCAAAAGGATGTAGGCCTCTGACAAATTATTTGTGTTGAATACTGTAGATGGCTTTCTGTTTTCAACAATCACAGACATGGAGTTAAGTCTGTCTATACAAGGTAAGTATCCCATTGTAATCTCATGTAGGTAATTCACTGCTTTACCCAACTGTTCGGGTAAAATTTCTGATTGTTCCAAATCAAAAAAATTCCAGAATTTCGGTGCTACATTTCTTCTTAGATGCTGCTGTAGACATTCCACAAACCATTCTTCAATTATGTAGGCAAGGCCATTTTGGGACATAACGTCAACTGCATTATGAAACTCAGTCTCATTTGGTCTCTTCTACATTAAAATAAAAGAAATTGAAAGAATGCAATAAATATCTACTCAATACCATTTATAGAATTTGTTCAAACTTAAACATAGGTAAACAAAGATTACGAAGCTCACCTCTACAAATGTGATCTATAAGAAATGCAAATCTCACATCATATATTTTTTCTAGTTAGTGTACATCCCAAGATCAATATCCATGCAAGTTTGATTTAAGTAGGACTTATAGTTGGAAATAGACCTGATTGAAAAATTTTTAACCTGTTTACTACATCAAGAAAATTTTAGTCCGTTCCAATATCCAAAGCAAGTCTGGAAGTTTTCATCCTTAGATGCACCATGCATCTATACAAGAAACATGACAGTTGTAAATGACACCACCATGGACAAATTAGTCATGCTTACTTTGTAAACTACCACACCAAGTGGGACAAAAAACTCATCCAAGGTCACAACTCAAGGCTAACAAACATGAAATCCTGGCTTCGCCCACAGTCTATAGTGTTAAATTTTGCTTTTTTTTCTGTAAATTAAAAGTGATTGCATTAGCAATACTAGTCCCCTACCGGCAAGTGTAATCTGGTTTCCGTTAAAAATTGAAAATGTCATAATTCAGTCAAAAATCAATGAAGCGGAACGAAATGCAAACTTGATCTATAACACATCAAGGTAAAGTCACATACCAAAAATCAGCTCAATATCTGCAAGAGTTTAGAAAAAAAGTGTGGAAAATAGGGCTGGGACGATACAACTTTTTCTATATCGATACGTATCCCGATATTTGAGCCACGATACGATATGTATCACGATATGTTTAATTGGTTATAAATTCTTTTTTTATATTGAAATGAACAAAACATTTCTTCACAAATAAGAATAATTTATTCAAAGAAGTTGCATATCTGCTGTAAAACTTAATTATTTTGCACAAGTGGTCTTAATTATTATGTATTTCATATTTATATTTATATTAAGCATATTTATTTTATATATTAAACCCAAAATATTAAGTAAACAAAGAAAAACACAAGTCAGAATTTTTTGGTCGATATGTCGATATTTCTTCATACGTATCGATATGCGTATCATCCTCACATTGAATCGATATTATCGATATCTCGATATATCGTCCCAGCCCTAGTGGAAAACCCTGAAAAATTGAGAAGGTCGTAATTCCGTCAAAAATCATTGAAGCGGAACGAAAAGCAAACTTGATCTGTAACTCATCAAGATACACTCACATACCAATAATCAGCTCAATACCTGCAAGCGTTTAGAAGAAAAGTGCGGAAAACCAAACGGGACAGACTGACAGACAGACAGAGGGACAGACGGACAGACAGACAGACGGACGGACAGACTCAGAGGAAACCTATAGTCCCCTCCAGTTTCGCTGGTAGGGGACTAATAAAATCAAGAGTGAAAACTACAAAGCAATCATGTCAATATTTTTAATCGTCAGTAAAAGAAATCATCATTCAATAAGTGTAAATATTGAAATAAAGAGATTTCATTTATCGTGTGGACAATCTGACATGTGCCATACCCAAAATATTATTTATTTTTCCAGCCAACAATCGTGTCCAAAGTATTCTCCACTACAATTTCCGGGGTCTATGTTTTTATGCCCTGTTCACAGATTTATATTGTTTGTGGACTTTTTTTTAAAAAAAAGATCAATTACTGTTCATTATCTTCATCGTTTTCAATATATGAATATATACGTTAGAGGAAATTCGAACAATGATTGTAACATTTCTTCCACCGAATGGTGCAGATTGATTTGTATTTTATGATCTGTTTGTCTTTAATAACAATTTTTGCTAATGATAGAATGACACTTCCAAATTACAATTTAAAATAAAACCTCAAATATCCGCTATAGTTTTTCTTCAACGAAAAACTTCTAAAAGTTCTAGAAAAAGTTCTAGAACGGAGGTTCTAGTTGAATTGTCTTGGACATCATATCGCTTACAAGTACCGAACAACAATGGAGATTGAAAATATAAATCATAAAGTCAATGTTTAATTATCTACTCTCAATTATTTTTTGAAATATAAATTAATCATGTATACATGGTATAATTACCAAACAATATTATATAGCTATTTGATTTCTTTTTTTTTTACCAGAGTGTATACATACAAAGCGACCATGCGGTACATGAAAGCGTTTTACGCGTGACCAGGAAATTGTTTCCGAAACATGCAAACTCAGAATATCAGGTAGCACAAGTAGCTGGCCTGCCAATCAAATCAGAAGCTATTGTTTTTTGAATGATTGACATTCGGTATATTATTGATCTCGAATTTAGTAAATTTTGGGGGCGTTAACGTAAAATTGGGTGTTTAAGAGCAGACTACTGGGCACTCAAGGGTACTGATTGTACTGGAGCTGTTTTAGTATGACCGTTGATAAAACTGCGAACTCCTGTGGTTTATAAAGTACCTGGCTACCGATCCACAAGTAATTCCACCAGGAAATGTTCCTTCTTTTCATCCTTTATAAACTAATTTAATTGTATTATTTACTTACATTGCCAATACTCGGTGATAACACTTCAGTAACGACTATCCAAGCTTTGCTGACACCTTCGGTGTTGATTTTTACCGCCATGATGGATTGTGTATAAACAAAAATGAAAGACGACCTAGCGAATTCCGGGTTTGTACAACCACAATCATTGCAAAATTAGTCTCTAATATCTACCATTATATACCATATATTTTATATAAATACATAATAATAATTGGAAAACAATGCAGATAAAAACTATACACACACCAAAAATGTTCTCGATTTCTTTATCTTGTGAAGAAGTTAATACAAGGTCATTGTTGCAGTCTTTGAAAAGAAACTGTTTTGAGAACTGAACTCTAATCATAACGCAACCAGTAACTGTTCACCGATATCAACAGCTGATCAATGCAAAGCGCTAGAGGTCTTACCGACTTCTTAGACTTCTGTACATAAACAATTTTGCTATGGTTACTGTCAATGCACTTTTGCAAGAATATTTAGATACATGTACATTGCACTGCACTGAGGTACAAGATCGAAAATGCACCATACCCCTTTTGTTTTGAATCAACTTTTCTAAATTATTTTCGATGTATGGGATTGAGTTAAATTCATGAATATTGCAGAGCATCTTAACAAAAAGCTTTCAATTTCACTTGTTTACATTATTCATTCGTAAATAATTTTAATAATAATAATTAATCCAGATATTTGACTACAATAGACAAAAAACCAAAACCAAGTAAAAATCTTGAGATGCCAAGACTCAACTGCACGGCATTATACTTACATGTCATTCAAAAGGAGGTCACTTGAGATTTGTCATATTCATTCTAGAAAAACTTATTTTAATTAGTGCATATATGTACTTTAATTTGTTTGATACAAGGCAAAATTTAGAAAATGGAGAGAGAGAGAGAGAAATTCAATACATTTCCACATTTCACAATAGATGTAAACTTCTCTTTATTTTTGAGTAGTTTGAAGATGTACTTTATTTTTCAAAATAATATTCTGACTAAGTGTATCGTAAAATGTATTTTTGAAACATCATTTTGTTTACCTTTACTTGTAAAAAAAAATTTTTTTTTTTATAAATGATATAGTTATTTTCAATAACATGCAACAAAATATTGAGGCAAAACTTCCGCAGAAGCCCTCTGTATATACCTCACCTGGGTGCCAGGAGCTCCCTGGATCGGTATTTTTATTATAATATTTAATTTACAAAATAATATACATTAAATGAAAAAAAAAAATTACATGTACGTATACATATCATTGCTGACATTTCATTTCTATACATATGCTTATATATCATTGTATAATATTTTGTTATAAATAAAATAAGTATCATAGTTGGAATATCTATACTTAATTTATATACTTCTCAAAATACATACACAAAGAAAATCATATTTGGTCAGCTAACTTTTTTAAAAGATGGTAATTTAATTGAACACTTTTTGCATCCTTTGCTACTAAATAATACTGATATAATGATGATTTTAAAAAAGATAACATTGCATGTGCATTTACATTTTCATTTTGTAATCTACATTTCATTTTATACTTGTATATTTTGTAACCTACAATTGATATGACATTATTAAAAAAATTTGTTGCTTTGTTAAACTCATTAAAAAATCCTACAACAATATTTTTCCAGGATATATTTAATTTCAATATTTTTGATATTTTTTCCCATAATCTTTTTGAATCCGAACATTCTAAAATTAAATGTTCAATATATTCTACTTGTCCACAACTTGTACAATTTTTTCCCACCTCTTTATTCCATTTACTTACATTATAATTACAGTTTAGCTGGTTATGTAAAAGTTTAAAATTGAATTCTGCTATCTGTTTATCAAATACATTTAATATCTTAGCTGTATAAATATTTTTCCATTGACCATTTTTTATATTGAATTCTTTTGACCACTTCGTTTCCATTATTGGCTTTTGCTTCTTTTTAGAAAGTAGAATTTTATAATAAAATCCTGATTTTTCAAATTCTGGGTTTCTACTTTTTCCTTGAAAATAAAAATAGGGTTTTTGTATATTAGTGTTTTTTACATTACAGTAATCTATATTTAGCTTTTTAATTGCTTTTTTCATTATTAGATATTCACATAAGTAATTACTTTTTGATTCAATGATCTCTTTTACATCCGTAATATCTTTCATACCTTCTGTTGTAAACAGATCTTTTACGTATAGAACACCACTTCTTGCCCAGTTTTTTTAGATATAGTGGTTTATTGTCGTGTTTAATGAAACTGTTTAACCATAAGTTTTCTGTAATTTTATTACGCGGTGATAACGATTTACATTCGTTAAAACTACAGAAAATATTCTTGTAAAGAATCTGGGGGGATAAGACGAGCCATGTGCCCATGCCCATTTTTCGGCTATGCAAGAACATTTATTGGAAAAAATTTCTCAATTGTTCAAATTTACTTGAGCATTTTAATGTTTACCGTAGTTTTCAAAATGATATTTATATTCTAAACAAGCTAAACAGTTGACTTTCATTTACTGTCACAAATGTCTAACATGGGTAAGGACTTCTATTAATTAATCTGCATATTGAGTGTTTACACTTATTGTGGAGATATTATAAAAATGTTAACATCGTATATAATGATAATGGTGATCTAGAAGCGCTTTTATTTAAAATAAATAAAACGGGAATAAAAGTATTCAAATATCTATTATAATTTTTATCCGGCATTTTAAATAATTTACTGTAAATAAGTTCATTATTACATATATATATTTTATTTTCAGTGAAAAATATGTTATTCCTATAGACATTTTTTATAAAGTAAAACAAAATTAAAACTAAAAAATTCAAAAAAAAAAAAAAAAAAAAAAAAAATCAGAGCATGACTCGAACACTTTCCTCAATAAACGTCCCTTTAAAGAGCTCATCGCTAACCACTAGACCACGGAGTCACACTAACATTTCCATTTAAATAGCATACAGTTCTCTATATTTAGCAAGCGTTTTTGGACTTAGAATTTTTTAAGACCATGGTGAAAATTTAAGTAAGTTAACTTAATTTTTTATGTAGAGTGGGTCTTCATACCAAATTTTTGCAAGTGTAAAAAGCAACATCTTTCCATTGCCTTTCATTAATCGTTCTCAAAAAAATGGTACGATGACCCACTCTATTTAAAAAATGTAGTTATATCATCGAATTTATGTCAGTTTCTGTGAAAATTGAGCGTGATGTCATTTTGTTGTGTTAATCAGAATCATTTTCGCTGTTACAGTATTCAGGTTTTGTCAAATTTATATGCAAATGGTAATAGGCATTACATTAATTCAACAAAAAGTGAAATTTTTGTAAAATGAATTTATTGATTTTTTATCGATCGTTATGTAGGCATATGGCTCGGCTTATCCCCCCAGTTTCTTTCGAGAATTTGTTTAAAACGTTGAAATCATTCGGATTTATAATATTACTACGTAACAGATATTCAAAGTTTATTCCATAACTTTTTAATGCGTTATCTAAAAAAATTCTAAGCGTAGAGTTCTCATTGTATAGCCTTTTGATCCATCCGGCTTTTACGCTTTTAAGTTTGCATTCGATATCTGTTAAACCAAGACCACCCTCATTTATTGGCCTTATAAGTGCATTGCGTTTAATTCTCTCTCTCTTATTCCATGACAAATTGTAAATAATTTTATTTATACTTTTAATGTATTCGACATCTGGATTTTCGAGAACTATAAACACATATAATAATTTAGACACTATGAGTGAATTAATAACTGTACGTACATTTTCCGAAAAAAGTTAAGCTTCTTGTTCTCCATGAATCTAATATTTTTTCAAATTCTTTAAACTTATGCAACCAATTTTTTTCATTATTAGATATTTTGTCGTGTCCTAAGGAAATTCCGAGTGATTTAATAGGTTTATTTGTCATTTTAATTCCTTCTATATCCTCTCGTGTGTTTTTAAGGGGTCCCAAGAGAATACCCTCTGTTTTTTCTAAATTTAACTTAGTACCAGACATTTTCCCAAAAGATTGTATAACTTTAATAGACGCTTTTAAGGATTCAGTATTTTTCATTGGCAAAGTGCAATCATCTGCATGCAAAAAGAAAGAGCAATGCTGAGACGGGACATCCTTGCCTAATGCCTCTTGACATTGTACATTTTCTAGTTAACCAGTTATTATTTTTAACATGAAAATAAGGTCTTGTGTATAAGATTTTTTTCCATCTTAGGAAATTTTCTCCAAAATTGAATTTTTTAAGAGTTTGAAACAAGAAGTTCCATTCAACTGAATCAAAAGCTTTTTGGAAATCGGCAAACAATAGTATTCCTTCTTCATTATTTTCTTCACAATAATCGTATATATCTAGTATTAACCTTGCATTTTCACCAATAAATCTTCCTTTGATATATCCAGTTTGATTTTTATTAATGAGTTTGTCTATAATCATTTGTAGTCTCTTTGCAAATACGAAGGCTATTATTTTATAGTCGCAATTTGTTAAACTAATAGGACGATAGTTATCAAGATTTATTAAGCTCCCTTTTTGTGTATGAGTGATAGAACAGAAGATCTCTGCGTAAATGATAATTCGCCTACCTCGAAGGATCTCAATAGGCTTTCATATAAATAAACTTTTACATATTTCCAAAACATCTTATAAAATTCCACGGGAATTCCGTCTAATCCCGGTGATTTATTCAATTTCATATTATATACAGCTTCTGCACATTCTTCAATTTCAGGAATTTTATCGCAATTTTCTCTATCTTCATCAGATATGTAATTAGTAAGTTCCGTTTCTTGCAAATATTGATTAATATCGTTTACTGATATATTGCTAGACGAATATAGTTTTTCATAGTAGGAACTTAGTGCGTTTAAAATGTCTTGAGTTTCATAAACACAGTTATCTCCCACTGATAATTTATTTATGACATTATGTGATTGGTGTTTATTTTCTAATCTTAAGAAATAAGAGGTGTTTTTTTCTTCATCGTCAATCCAACGAGCTTTGGCTCTCACCCTGGCCCCTTTTGATTTATATGCATATAACTTATCTAGTTCTTTTTCCAAATTT